TCTGGCGGCGCGGTCCCCTCTGGCAGCTCCCCCTCCGGCAGCTCTCCGTCTGGCGGCGCGGTCCCCTCTGGCAGCTCCCCCTCTGGAAGTTCTCCCTCTGGCGGTGCAATCCCCTCTGGCGGCGCGATTCCCTCTGGTAGCTCCCCCTCTGGCAGCCCCCCCTCTGGAAGCTCTCCCTCTGGTAGCTCTCCGTCTGGCGGCGCGGCCCCCTCTGGTAGCTCCCCCTCTGGCGGCGCGATCCCCTCTGGAAGCTCCCCCTCCACTCCAGGCCACTCCGGCAAGCCTTCTCAGCCCGAGCCCTCCAGCTCTGAGCCCTCCGGCGAGTCCCCCGTTTCCCCCGGCGGTAACGGCGGTGGTTCCGAGTCCGAGCAGCCCAGCGGTGTCTCTCCCGAGAGCCCTGCTTTCACCGGCGCTGCTGGTAAGACTCAGCCTGCTGTTGGTGTCCTGGTTGGTCTTGTTGGACTTATGGCTTTCTTCTAAGCTATTGATGTCCTTTGAGAAGTATTTTGTGGGGCTTGGGAAGCCCTACTACCACAAAGATTGTCGAAGGTGTTGTGTTGCGAGAGTATACGAAAAGGATTGTTTGATTTGATTTGATTCCTTTCTCTTAGAATTAACCTAATGTTTAATACCGGGGCTCAACTGGATTGTTTTTAGAGTTTTGAGTAATAAAAATGAATGGAGTTATGATTATATCGCATCGCATCCGAAAGGAGTCTATCAAAGTCATGGTGACTTGAAGTATTGAATATCAGTATAACTTGCAAGGTACATGAAAGAGCAACTGCCCGAGCTCAGAAGTTCTACCGTCGGGCCAAAAAGTCCACTATGATGAGCGGATGCTCATCATGCTCGGGAACCGCGCATGTGCAAGGTGCTATGCCTTAAATATTAGTGTAAGATGCTGGTGTGGCACAAGCTGGTTCATTCTATAATGCATTTATCTCATCACATCTTATGCTTTTGCTCGTTAAGTAAACGAGATGTGGGATATATAAAAGATTTCATACACAAGATCCTAAATCGTCTAAACATAATAAAAAGGAGATAAACTACCGCAATCCCTGCAACTCCTGGTCAACCTCCGCCTTCACAAGCTCCCGCACGCCCTGCCATCCAGAACCAGCAGGAACAGGGGTAGACCTGCTCTCCCGCTGCTCAATGCCAACAAGCTCCTCCGGAAGCACCTCCTCAAAGTTGTAGCCATCCTGGTCACGCAGTGCAAGGTCAACGGAGCTGACAAACTTGGCTGGGTGGGCGGTGGAAAGCGAGATGTGGCTAATAGCCGGGTTGCGCTCGCCGGAGCGAAGGGACGCTGCGACACCAACGGCGGAGTGAGGGTCCAGGATGTAGCCACCGGTCTTGGAGCTCTTGGCACTGCCGGGGGTGGCGTTGGTGGGGAAGGAGGAGGTGTAGGTAGAGCGGATCTGGGCGATGGTTTCATCGTTGCTGACGCGCTCGCTTTCGAAGTCGGCCTTGGCGCCTTCGAGGACAGCGGTGGGGACACTGAAGCCGCCCTGGGACTTGAGCTGGTTGAGCCAGTTGCTGACGCTCTGGCAGGCGTTCTTGCGGCGCTCGTCCTCGGAGGTTGCGGAGTCGGTTTCGAAGGCAAGGAACCAGAGGAGACGCTCGAAGTTGCTGCTGACGAGGATGTCCATGGCAGGGCTGTGGGTTTCCTTGACGCCGGATCCTGCGTCCTTGGTGTAGTGGCCGCCGCTGCGGAAGAAACGGTCCAGGATGTCGTTTTCGTTGGTGGCAATCACCAGTCTCTCAGCAGGGAGACCCATGCGCTTGGCGAACCATCCGGCCATGATGTCACCAAAGTTGCCAGATGGAACAACAAAGCGCATCTTCGAGTCCTTGTTGTAACCGGGGGTCTTGGTCAATGAGAAGTAGGAGTAGAAGTAGTAGGTCATCTGGGCCAGGATACGAGCCCAGTTGATGGAGTTGACGGCAGCCAGGTTGTGGGTGGAGTTGAGCTCAGGGTCCGCAAACAAGGCCTTAACAATGTCCTGGCAGTCATCGAACGAGCCCTGAACAGTGAGGTTGTGCACATTGGCATCCAGGACAGTGGTCATCTGAGCCTCCTGGATAGGCGAAACCCGTCCATCGGGGAACAGGATGAAAATAGACACATCCTTCTTCCCCCGAAGACCGTAGATGGCCGCAGACCCTGTATCTCCACTGGTAGCACCAATAACAGTCAAGTGGTGTCTCTCTTTGCCCTCCTTGCCCTGGTTCTTCCGCACCAAGAAGTATTCAAACAGGTTTCCGAGTGTCTGAAGGGCTACATCCTTAAAACTGGAGGTAGGCCCTTGAAATAGTTCAAGCAGGTGGAGGTTCTTCTTGCTGTCCAATTCGACCAAGGGAGTCCGTTCAGGGTGGCGGAAGGTCGAGTACGAGCGGTTGATGATGTCTTTGAGGTCGTTCGCAGGGATTTCCGACTCCGAGATGTAGAGAGACATTATCTGGAAGGCAAGTTCTTCAAAACTCAGATTCCGCCATTCTGACTCCCAGTTGGCAGGGAGGGCAGGGATGTGCTCGGGGATGAAGAGGCCACCGTCCGAGGCCAATCCTTTGAGAACGACATCTTCGAAGGAGAGCTACATTCAGACACCTGTTAGCATTGCATGTTAAGAGCCTATAGATAGAGAATGGCAACATACACCAGATGAAGCACCCCGTGTGCTAAGATATTTCTGCGAGAGGGTATGCGACATGGCGAGTAGTGGGGTGGACAAGGAATTCTAACTCGGCTCAATCTCTGTTATTCAGCGTTTGCGATGTGGAAGCAAGTCGTGTCGTTGCTCCGGTTTGTTTCCGGTCTGGTCTGGTGGTCTTTTTCTCTCTAATATATCCAGTGAAGAGAGGAGAAGAAAGAAGTTGATTCATTTCTCGCCGCAAGGAAAAGTCCCTTGCCGTATCGGGCTTAGCCCCTCCGACAGCGGGGGATCGGATCACGTGCAGGAACCGTTGGTTCTCTTCGTCTACAACTACCGATACAAATGCATTCTCTAATATGACCTTTTTACAATTCATACTACTGCAGAGTCTGGATATAAGCCAAATTTGCCATCCGACTACCGAAAATGCTTTGTACATCAGCCACTGCCAGCACCGTGGACACGGATGCCATTATGATATTGTTTGTACAGATCAATTCGGTGGATTACGTGGACAAGATGCATCTCATATGCTCCAGAAGGAGCCAGTCATGCGCCATGTTTACGGAACTGTGATCCCTGCTTGTAGCAAACCGGCGCTTAGATTGCCTGCCTATTGTTTGTTCATCCACGAACATGGAGGACCCGGGCAGATTAGACACACTTCAATCCGCTCGATTGAGTTCATGATTTACAGCAGCTCCAACGTCGCATCATATCTGATCTCCATTTAACAAGAAATGCCACGGAAAATGGCCCGCATGTGCCAGCGGATGTTTGCGAAGAATGCTCTTTGACTCCCCGTTATACTCCGAGACCAATCATCTCTCCACCGCTACTCTTTCAACTCATGGACCCACGGGATAATGTTGATGGAATTCTGGCTCTCTGCGATGTTTTATTCCACCATTGCCGGCATATTAGGATCAATAACCCCCGAGCGAGTGATGGTAAAACGGCACTTATGCAGGTGTGTGAAAAGGGTCAGTTGCGTCTGGTACAATGGATTCTCGAACATGGCGCTGATGTCAACACTCTGGATAAATATAACCGAAGTGCTATGTACTATGTGATTAGGGCGGGAAATATTGACATTTTTAAGGAGCTCCTCCACTATAACCCTGTACTGAATTCGGTTGACCGCGAGCTTGAATCACCACTGACCGCTGCAATCGATCACTCATATATTCTACGTCTGCTTCTCAATACCGGCGCTGATCCTAACATCCCCGGCTAGCAAGGCCGGTCACCAATCTTCATTGCTGCCATGCAGGGCAGCGCAGAAGTCATTCAAGACCTGATCAGAGCTGACCTACACAGCCGTGATGACCATGGATGAACTCCCATCTATGTTGCAGTTGCCTGTGAACGCGACGATAGCATCTTACGAGCCCTGATTGACGGCGGTGCAAATGTGGCCGACACTATCACGGGCATCGGCAGCGGACCGCTCCATTTAGCTGTCTACAAACCTCCCCATGTTATGCGACTTCTCCTTGGATTTGCAAAACGGCTAAATCTGAACCAGAGGAACTCGGAAAATCTTACCCCTCTTTTACTCGCGACAAATCTCGCAAACATTGCCTCGACCATGTTAGTGAACGCTGGCGCTGATATCAACCTCCTAGACAACCGTGGGGAAACGGTGCTCTATAATGCCATTGCATATGAGATGCCAGGACTCCGTGATTGATTACTCGCCCAATCTGAGATTGAAATAAATCACTGGTCGGCTTCTTTTGGGGCTCCCCTCCATTTGGCTGCTCATCGAAAGCAACTGGGCAGTGTGACGGCTCTGTTAGATCGCGGTGGTGACCCTAACCTCATCTCTTCGTGTAATATGTACCCGACCCCGTTGATTTCCGCGTTACTGTCAAACAAGGTCAAGCGTGACGATGTAGTCGATGAGGTGGTTCGAACGCTCGTCCTATCGGGGGCTAATGTTCGGATGACAGTCCCGTCGACATTCTACAATGCTCTGGCGACCGCCTGTTACGGCGCGAATCCAGGAACCATCAACTTCTTTATCGACAGAGGCGGATTCCCCAACTTTGCAGATCCCATTTCAGGAATACTACCCATTCATTTTGCCGCTGCAAGTGGGATTGCCAATTTCCAGACTATCTTTCTCCCATACCGGGGTGATATGATGGCAACTGACAATCACGCGAAGAATTGTCTCCACTGGGCAGCCCAGTTTGGCAATTCCCGCACTGTCGATTATATCTTGTCTCGATGGCAATCACAGCCCAATCGGAGCCGGGCCGTGGCACGGGCCGAAATCGATGGATGGACGCCGCTTTGCTGGGCTGTCTGTCCTCTTGAAAGTGGAATTTGTTATCCGATGCGTTCTGAGCGCAAGGACCATGTCAAAACTGTCCGCATATTATTGCAACATGGGGCGAGCCCTACGACGGAATTTCATCGAGGCGAAGAGATACTGACGCCGTTGGACCTAGCCCAGCGGTGCGATGCCGGAAACAAGATCATTTCTCTTCTCCGAGAGCACTTGGATCCCGAATCCCAGTCGTTCTCAGAACCTATATCTAAGCATATACGAAAATACACGACGCACCACGGGATATGCAATCTTTGCCTAAATGTATGTTGTCTAGTACTTCTTTTCCGCAAAATCACCAATCCATCGTTGCTAATCTCTGTTTGCCATCTCACGCATTAGTGCATCGTTGGGAAATTATATACCTGCAGCGCCTGTCCCGACTATGACCTCTGTAGCAAGTGCTACCCTGTCGCGGACAGTCTTCATAACCAGGACATTTTGAAAGACACCAGGTCCATACCTTCAGCTTAATGCCTGACATGGCTGAGTACCAAAGGCCAAATGCTTCGTCAGATAACAAAGCTCCTGACATGGAGGGAGGCACATTGGAGTCCCATAACCCAGTGGCTGCAGAAAGGGCACTGTATGAGAGCCAACTGGATGCATTGGATTCGGGATGGGGGAATTTGGAGGAGTTGGAGGAAATGCCTCTGGATAGTGATGATGAATGGTGACTCCCAACGCCATGGCAGGCACTTATGTGCAGGAACATTGATTTCTCTTCACACGTACTTGATTTTCTAGGACACCTTGAACACTCCCCCTTTCCATTTTAGTGCCCACCCCTCGCTGTTTTTGGCTCACTGAGCAGATCTGAGCACGCCCTGAGCTGATCACTGAGCAGGGGCTGAGCAGAGGGGCGGATAGCCTAAGCAAAGTAGCCTCAATAAAATGCACCATGCTAGTTCTACCTGTGTGCATTTCCATAACGCTTTTAACCATCACCCCCTTGACCCCCTCTGAAAAGCGATGGCACCAGAGATAGTGGGGTAATCTAAGCTCCCATGAAGATTCAATTCTTTCTAGAGATTACTCTATATCTGGGGAGCGTGCTCCTAGCTCTCATAAACAGGATCAGCTGTCTTAATGCCCGATGACAGTTACCCAGGAGTAGAGTGTCACTCGGGGCGGGGTGAGCCATGCCTTCCCGTAAGGCCTTTTAAACGGGGTGGGGTGGGGCTTTGGGGGCAACCTGCCCCAAACCAGCTCGCCCCAATGGGGCCCCCAAAAATCAGCGGGGCGGGTTCGGGGCGGGGTCGCGGGGCTGTTCGTGACACTCTACCCAGGAGGTGCTATTCTTCTCATGTTCAATGCAATCTACAATTCCAAGCATTTCAATTTTGTCCTTCCCAAACATGTACAGGGCACCAGTTAGTAAGTTACACGGCTGAGGGTTATGCCTGGGCTTCAGGAAAGCCCAGTGTTGTCCTTGCTACTTCTGGCCTTGGTGTGACCAATGTTATTACCTGTGAGAAAGGAGGGATTGAGACAGCGTGATGAGCGCACTGCGGACTGTATGCGTAGTATTGAAGAGACTAATCGCTGGTGTGCTAAAGCCCGACCACCAGCGCCGCGAAGTATTCTCGCGGCGGTCACATGACCTGCTATTTATGTACATGGATAAATAATGCATAAGTCCGCACTGCGGAGGCCGGGCTGCGGCCTCCGTGCTACACAAGTTCTAACATTACCCCCATGCAGGATGCTCTCTCTGATGGTACCCTGATGGTTGTCTTCCGAGGTCCTAACCAGCTTGATTGATATTGATTCTTTCCAGGAAGCTGATGTTGTTGGCATCTCAAGGGCTTGCACAGATGGATTGGCTATTGGTTTGGGGGATGGTGAGCGTGGTGCTGAGGCTGAAAGGGCAGCCATGATGGCAAGAGCTTCAGCTGTCAGATTTAGTTAACTAACTAGTCGAGTCATGAACTGACGCAATCAATAATCATGTGATCTGTAGTTGGAGGTGCCTGCTCCTTCCACTTTCTCTTTGCTTTTCTATGCTCCTTCCGGTTCTTTGCCCTACTCATCCATATCGTCCACCATGGCCTCGTGGCTGGGAGGTTTGAACAACCTGTTCACAACGTCACCAAAACCACCCCCATGCTTAAACGAAGACAAAATGACCAAAATAACAGTTGGCCCTTGCGGATTTCGAGGCCTTTCAGGAACGCTTCAAAAATGCTCCTGCACAGAGGGATCTTGTGTCATATCAACGTCTGCAATAGATTGGCAAACATCTTGTTGCGAGTGTTACCATCCGCTGTCATATCACTCAAGCTATAAAAAAGAGCAAATCCACCATCAAGGTATTCTATTATCCTTCCTCTACTGTTCATATAATATCCTAATCTGAATGAACTGACAGGGAATGATTCCCTGCCTGCTGAGTCCATACCCGCTGAGATATCCCCACGACCAGACACTGTTGATACATTGGCGCAGATGCTAGAACATTATGCAATAGTCCACGTCCAGGGCACTCCCGCCACCGGGAAGACGCGACTGGCTCGATTGCTACAAGATCGATTGGAGACAAATCACCGAGTAGTGTTCATGGGTCTAGGCTGGCCGCCGGCTACTGGCCGCCGTCATCCAACTGAAATCCTTGCTGACGAAAGCCACAGAACAGGGTTTATGAATGTGGGAGCAAGGGATCTGTTGACCAAGAAAAACAACGACCTTGTCTTTATTATTGATGAAGCGCAAACCACCTATGGGGAATCCCATCTTTGGTTCTCTGTCATAAAAGACCGGATGGGTCTTTCTCATGGCCCATCAATTTGTCTATTCTCTTCCTACGGCAGCCCATCCACAGGTTCACCGGATTATCAAACTTCTGGCAATACACCCCCTATCTTACGAGCAGAGCTCCGAGTTTCTCTAGTGCCGTCCATGTGCCCAGGAGCACCGCAGATTTCCCTTTTTTACAACTTTGCCGAATTTCATGATGTCGTTTTCAGGTTCTCAAAGAATCGAAATCTTGAGTTTAAAATCGAGGACAATTTGAAGAATCATATCTATAGCATGACCAATGGCCATCCTGGAATGGTCCGGTCTGTGCTAGAATTTCTTGAGACTGTACGTGCCATTATCTACTTCACCCTGATAGCTTCTTACTTTCATAGGTCTATCGAAATTATTTTAAGCGTGCAAATGCTCAGTCACTTGGCCTAGATGATGTGTGGACACACTTCAATGACAACAATGAGTTTTTTGGTTATCTAATAAAGACTGTTGCCGGGAGAAGTCTACCCACGCGAGCAATGATGGGCGGTGAAATTCATGCTGGTATAGTCAGTGTGATATTGGGGTTGCTACATAATGGCTACGCAAGGTTCGATCCCAAAAATGATGTGATGGTGCGTGCATTTCGGCATGGTTTTATCCATACTGAAGCTCTTGAGAATGGAGAGATTCTCTGCATACTCCCATCTCTCCTGCATGCTCGGTAGGTAGCGGCAGCAGACCCTTCTGTCCTTTGAAGCTGGGACTCTTAGCTCACAATTTGCCGTTGATGCAAACATAGATTCATTGAGTTCTACTATGCCTGCACGCAGGTCGGACCGTTCCCGTATGATGACTACCCAACCATCAGCGAGCTTTGCCTTGCCATTCTTCGACACTTTTGCAAGCAATCTCTTTATGACGCCGCCAAAAGCCAGCGATTTGGGCCCTCAGGGCGAGTTCGCCCACCTGAGGCCGTTTTCCAGGATGTCTTTTACCAGGCATTCTGGCAGGCAACCCGGTCGCGTATTGCTATATCCAGCGAGTGGACAGAAAAAGGTAGTGGACGCATTGATTTCTACATAGTCAGCCCAGGCTGGGGCTTTGAGCTTCTGCGCGACGGGGACCAAATAGAAGATCACTGCGCCAGGTTTCAAAAGCATGGAATATATCACCCCTGGATCCAAGCACATAGTCTGCGCGAGTGGATAATCCTTGATTGTCGTCATTCCAAACCCAGAACAACATGTAAGGAACCCGGCCCCGTTGCTCAGTCAGTTATCAACCACTAAGCTAATAATCATCTTCAGACCCAAACCAGCCCAACTTGTGGAGGGTCGTTTTCCTGGGGGAGTATTCACGCGTTCTGGTCCTGGATTGCAAGAACCAACACTTGGCGGAATTTGGACTAGCAAACAGATGATCTATTCATTGACTTCTGGAGCTGGGATGCAACATCTATGTTTGGAGAACTATCACTGGCTTGGGAGTGCGGTGCCTTCATGATGACACACTGGTTAGAAGATATGATTTAAGGATTTATTCATCAGGCTACATGTATTGATACCCAGCAGAGCAGACAAGTGCAGTGTATGTTCTGCCTTTTATTTCTTTTTCTGAATGAGCAATGCTATGTCAAGGGCAATTGGAAAGACGCAGTAGAACATAGGACAGATATTAGTAGACAGAAGGGAGTCAAGCAGGATATTTGCCTGTCCTACATGGGGGTAATGGCTTGAGCTTCTAGTCACAGGCCCCTCGGAGGTGGTTGGGGTTTCACAGAGACTGTTGGTGAATAAGGAATTTCTGCCCATGGCCTGTGAGGGGACAATCAGATAGTCTATCCCTTGGACCAACATTGGGACTGCTCAAATGGACATTGTCAGGAGCCAGAGGTGTTCATGAATGTTGTATCTGCAGTGACCCTGGGTCCTTCTTGCTTGGTTCAATGGTCGTCCAAATGGAGAGCATCAAGGTGGCTGATGGTCGGATCATCAGTCCCTTCTTTGTATATGATTGTCTTGTCAAGATTTGTCAACGCAAGCAGCTGGGTCGGATGCATCACATGCCCCGTTGATGGAAGGTGGGCCACCGTTCCAGGCCAGGGAGGATCAAGGATTCTGGGATCAATGAGTTTAAGATCAGGGGTCGTACGGAGAGAACTCAAAAGAGAATTGGGGGATGAAATGTCAGCTGTGCTAGACTTACTGGCCGAGCTGCCCTGTGCATCACTACTGGAGTAGGAGGGAGGGCATGGATATTCCCAGATCAAGTGAGGCTCAAAACCCATCAGTTTTTGGCTTGCGTCATTCAATATGGACACCAGGAATGGTGTGGGTATTTGGGATGGTGAATATGGCGCTACGGTCAAACTATCCGCGCAAAATAAAGAGGGGTGAGTAACTGAGCACTGAGTGGGCCATGAGCAGGCCCTGAGTGCTCACTGAGCAAGCCTCTGAGCACCCTCATAATAGTGGCGGCATCCAGAACGGGAAGGTCCCAGTGGTCCTAGAAAATCAAGTTCGTATAGGAACATCTATACATATTTGGCCTCTATCACGACTATTTACAACTTTATAGTTCAGTACAGCAGACAGGATGGCCCTTACTGCTCATTAACCAGCACATAACGGTAACGAGCCTTACCAGCCTCCATATCCAACACACCCCGGTTAGCGTCCTTCATCGGGATCTCCTCAATCCAGGGCTTAACGTTCTTCTCAGCGACGAGCTCCAGCATCTCCCTAATCTCACCGGGGCTACCGATGAAAGAAGCACCAACGTTCAGACGACGTATGAGTCTGGGGATGGGGGCGTTCAGCACGCCGTCGTCGGGAAGGCCGACCTGGACCAGGCTGCCGTGGGTTCGGAGGAGGTCGATGTAGTCGTTCATGGGCATCTGACTTGTTAGCATTCTTCTAGATTCATTGGGAGAGAGAGAAAAAAAAAGGGGGGTTGCTTACCTTCGAAGAAGAAACAGTGCAAACAATCAAGTCCAGCGAGCGAGCATACTTAGTCGCCCAATCCGGCTCATCATCAGTCCCAATATAAACATCCGCCCCCATCTTTAACGAATCACCCGCCTTATCAGCCTTCCTCGAAATAGCAACAACCTGCTCTGCCCCCATCGCCTTCGCAAAAAGCAACCCAAAGTGTCCCAACCCCCCAACACCAATAATACCAACCCTCTTACCCGGTCCACAACCACTATGCTTCAACGGGCTGTACACAGTCACACCACCGCACATCATGGGTGCCGCATGAGAAGGCGGAATGCTGTCAGGGATCTTGATGGCAAAGTGCGCAGGCACACGGTTGTACAGCGCATAGCCGCCGTAGGATTTACCGCCGTTGATGTAGGTGCAGTTGTAGGTGCAGTTGTAGGTGCCGACGAACTTGTGGGTGCAGTACTGCTCCAGGCCCATGGCGCAGTCGGGGAAGTCGCCTAGACGGCCTAGGCAGGATTCACTCTACGCGCCGACACCGACGTGGTCGCCTACTTTGATGCCGTTGGTGACTGAGGAGCCTACGCGTGCGGCGATGCCGATGATTTCGTGGCCGACGCAGCAGGGGTACATGGTGGGTTCCTATGCAATTAGCATACCTTTCAAATAAAGAAAGAAAAAGACTCACCCATTCAGACCGCAAAGTGTGCAGGTCCGTACCGCAGATACCACAGCACTCAACCTTGATATCAACATCGGTCTCCTCCCACGGCTTGGGCTCAAATTCCCGCCAGACCATCTTCCCGTCGACAGAGTCCTTGTTAAGACCCATCCATCCTTCGAACTTGTAGTCTATCTGCGCCATGATTGCTGTCAATTGCTACCCATCACCAATGGTCACAATGAGAAACCGCAAAACAAAACAAGAGGGAAAATGCTAAGCTTCAACGGCCTTCGGACCGGGACATGGCCATTAAATTTATAGTCGCAGCACCGGCACCGGCACACCGCGAATTCGGATATCGGGACCCCCTTTCTCTTCTCATACTCACTGGTGCCGGCCGTTGAGCGTCGATTGATACAATTTTACCCTCCGTCGTTGCGGGCTTCATTGTTTGAAACCCGAAAGAATTGGAGGAGATTAGCTTAAGTCCTAAGTCCGAGTTGGGGTTGCCTACCAATTCATGATTCATGTGAGTGCTTTATAGAGAAGGGAAGAAGGAATGGGTATAGACACGAGTATAGTATAGTGGACGTAGGTTGCATGATATGGTTTTTATTTATTTTTATTATTATTATTTTTTTTTTTTTTTATGTTGCGCGCATGGCCTGAGTTATTCCCACATTGAATAAATAAAGCGCAGATAATATCGCATCCAACTAAGATATGCAAGAAATGCCATGTCAAAATAAGCATAAGAAAGTTATTAGATCTCAATCTCACGTATGACAGCATCTGCAGGGATCTAAGCTTCCAGAACGCCACTAGAAGCTGCCATTAATAGATACGAGGACCTTGGCAGGGGACCTTGGAGGGACGACAGTCGGTACCTCAACGGTCAAAAACTGATCAATATTGAACCTGGAAGGACTGAAAATATGGTTTCTATGTGATCAACTAAATTGCTAAAGGATGTACAGAGAATGAGGTAATAAGGTAGCACTAGCTAGGCAAGGCGCAAGGGTTCTGGTAAACGGTGTATATCTTCAGTATCAATAAACATAATAAGGGTAAAGGCGATAATAGTATAATAGGAATCAAAAGTAAAAAGGAAACAAGTCCTCTATCAAATGCCGGCATTGATCGCTGTCCGTGTATGCCTCCCATCGATTTCACTTCAGCCAAACGCGCTCCCCAGAAAAGCCACTCCTTGCTTTTATGTTACTCCTAAAAAAGCGACAAGATATCCTCGTTGGTCTTCTTCTGCTGCCCCCCTGATGTCGCCGGTGGCGGCGAAGTCTTAGAGTTGCCACCAATATCAAGTCCATCGAGTCCGTTCAACAAGTCTGCACCGGCACCTCCACTAGGCGCCGCAGTTGATGGACCCGCACTTGTCGATGGTGCGGGAGCTCCACCGTCTCCGAACACTCCAAGGAGGTCGTCCAGGTTGTTGCTGGGCGCGGCGGCTGGGGTGGCTGGCGACTGGGCCCGTACGGGCGTGCCGGATAACCCTTCGAGGCCGGACAAGCCGTTCTCTGGCTCCTTCTGTGCAGATGCGGGTGCCCCGCCGTCGAAGTCGATGTCGAGCAGGTTTTCGACGTTGTTTTGTGCTTGGGGCGGGGGCGTAGTACCTGTGACGGCAGCGGCAGCCGCTGCTGCTGCCAAGGGATTCTCGCGTGCGTTCTGGATTTGTTCCCTGGTACATGTCAGTAACTGTATAGACGAATATGAAGGTAACGAAAACGTACTCAATAGCAGCCCGCTGGACGGCATCAGCACCGAATCTTCCTTGGCCGACGAATTGCTCTGGTGGCTTGTGGTAGACAGATGCCAGTGTGGAAAGTTCGTTGAGGAGTTGTTCGAGAAGGGTGGGAGGTAGCGAGTGAACGGTAGTCGAGATCGGGGGCTTCTCAGAAAGGACAATATTCTTGGGGGCGCCGGAGTCGGTAGTATTGGACAGGAGACGCCAGTACACATACGCACGATCGCGAACATCGGGGTTGTCGTTCTCTGCCGTAGCGGCTTGGAGAACCCGTTGCACAAGCCCTTGGGCCTTGTCGGGCCGCTTCAGGAAGAGCTTGACGACCGAGGTCAAGATTTGCAATTGGGTCTGGTAATACATTAGCTTTTGACATAGTTTCTGGAAGATGCAGGTGACAAACCTGTGAGAATTCTTCGTTGAATCCATCCACAAACCCACCCAGGATATCACCCGCATTGCTAATCTTCTCCGCGTATTCACCAACAATCCAAATGAGCGCAGCTCGAGCGTTTGGTTCATCCAATTCGTCGATGCATTTGCAGAGGGTAGGGATGATGCCTTCGTATCCAGGGTATTTCCGGAAAATGTCCTTAATAACCACAATAGCCTCCTGCACAACATAGTTCACCTTGGTATTGATAAGATCCAAAAGTGTGTTGACGCATTTCTCGCTGGCACTTTCGATCTTGATAGCAACCTGGCCAATGGCCTTGACGGCGCGCCGGACGAAATCCATATCAACTTCCAGTGCGTACTCCCTGAGTTCCGCCAGAAGTTGGTCGACGTTGCGGTCATTGGCTATGCGAACCATGGTCTCGAGCTTTTGGAACTTGACGTATGGAGGGTCGTTGTATTTGCAGAAGAAAACACGAAGTTCCTTCTGGAGAATATCGGGCTGTTTCTGAAGCAGGAGGTCAATGTTTCTCAAGGCGACATATTGCACCTCGGGTGCGGATGACACCAGTGTCACTAAATCGAATGTCAGTACAACAGCATCCCATGGATTGGAATCAATACATACCCAGCGGAGGCGCCATCTTCTTTAGGTAGTTCTTAGACAGTTCGGGGTTAACATTCCTCATGTGCAAGAACACCACCTTAACAGCAGCCAACACTACACTTGGGTTAGCGTGCTGGAACTGTGGTGCAACACGTTCACAAATATGCTCCGAGTCCGCCACCTCAGCGGCCTTGTATTCAGACAAAGTAGTGAGAATAGTGACCCGTCCCCATTCGGTACACTCGTTGAGTGCCATCAGCAACTTCCGTAACGTGTTCGACGTAACCTGAAGGGCTTTGGTCTCCGGTGCAGCGTGGTAAATCTCCGAGAGTGCTGTAACCGAGTTTGCGACCACCATCGGGTTAGGGTCACCGATCATTTCCTGCAGCATCTCGAGGAAGCCGTTCTCCAGGCACATCGAGGCATTAAGATCGAATAGCTTTGCCACGCAAATGGCCGCGGTCTTGCGCACGTACGGCGACTCGTCTCGGAGCGTCTTCCGTAGCGGTTCCTCCATGTAGTCGACCATCTTGTCCACCCTAATGCATCCCATTGTCCGAATCGCTAAGGCTCTGATAAGTGGGTTGGGGTCTTCGGAGTCTTGGACGAAGGTATTGACGGCGAGGATACAGAGGTCCGGATGAGATTTGGCATAGTTCCTACGGTGTTCAGATAAAGACATTAGCAAGCTGGCCAACGTGCACGGGACCTCGAAGAAAGACACTCACATAAGGTACAAATACACAAGTTTCTTCTGCTCGAGATCATTCGTGGCAATGTTCTTCAGGACATCAGGGAAAAGGGCCGAAACGTCTTTCCCGAGCGTCATGGCCATGATGGTCTTCTGAATCGCTTCCTTCCTGCGAATTCGGTCAGCCACCGTTATTTCCAAGCCCAAACGAAGAAACCTATAGCTGCATACCGTTCATACGCATACTGGGATCTGTATCACCCGTCAGCATCACTCTACCCATAGACCAGGGACACGCAAGACTCCATACACAAGACCAGCTCGCAATTCAAACGTCTCTCCTTTCCGGGGCACGGCAAAAGCCCCCCGGATCCTGTTCATCGCCATCGTGACCACCTATAAACTTCAGCGACGACTCCGCCGCACTTTCGTAGCGAATTAGGCAGTAATCAAGGCCCGGATGCTGTAACGGTGTCGTCTGCGCGGGCTGCGGGGAATGAGCGGCGAGGGAGCTTCAGGGACCACGTTGGCGCGCGACTCGGGGATATCGGACAAGGACTGATTAGATATCCCCTTGAATGGTGTCGGGGATTAATTCGTGAATAAAATCAACGGCAAAGGTGTCGTTCGTGGGAAGTTGTTGTAGAAACTGGGGAAGAGGAATGGGAGGAAAAGGGTCTAAGATAAAGTTGTCCACTGAGAGGAAACGCGGCTCTGCTCTGTCTAGTTAAAATTAGACGCAGCCCAACTTTACCTCAACCCCAACTGCCCCTGACAGCTGCTTTACATTTTACAGACAATATTTAAATAACAATACAATGGTAAGTTATTTAGACAATGCTGCAATCGCAGTTACTGACTAACAGGCCAATCTGCCCAATCTACGCCGACTGTTCGTCGAGGCCCGCTCCGAGGCCGAGGAGAACGAGTATTCGCGGACTGCTGTAAGAGATGGCCAGGAACTGGGAGGTATTCAAGATCTAACATTGGATCGCAGTTCTACAATCTGGTCCTCTTCATCTCCTCCGTTGCCGTATTCAGTCTGACAGCACAACGAATGAGCGGAGCCAAATCGGGCAAATAACGGTGGACAGAATCATGGCATTTACGCTTTGAATTGCTTGATATGGATTATTACAGCTGCTCCAGGCAGGCGATACAACCCCTGCACTGCAGGTACGAATGCACGTTTCTTGTTAATCGGTTTCCTCGCCATCTTCGTCTTCCAAAAAGGCAAGGCTTTGGCGTCCTCGGTTCAGTCTCCGTCGCCGTGGTCCGCTATCACTTGCCTCCTCCGCCTCCAGGCTGCCTGTGCCCCATTGCTTCGCGCCCTCTTGAACCATCTCAAGATCCGCTTTGAGTTCCCGCTCTTCGTGGATCTGTTTGGCCTTTTCTAGAGAGTATCGTCCCTTCATTCCCGCATCCGCCAACATTTCCTTCAGGTGTTTCATCTTTGCCTTCGGTGTGTCGTACGGTGCCAGCTCCTTTGACCAGAACTTGCGAATACCGCACTTGATGAGCCAACCTTGCAAGCGTTTGATCTCTGCCTGGTCGGGGTCCTGATCCGCGTCTTTTGCCTTGGGTGCGGTCTTGGGTGCGGCCTTTTTCTTTGTCGTCGTGGGTTTCTTCCGCTTGGGTGCTTCAGAGCTCTTTTGTCGTTTCTGACTAGGCTCAGGTTCCTCATCGAGCACGATAGACATTTCACTTTCTGAGGCGTCTTGCTTCTCCTCTTCGTCTTTCGGGGGCTGAAAGTCTTGTTCCTCTTCGGAATCAGAATCATCTTCCACGATGTCCTTCGAGGGAGTAGGTATTGGTTGAGCCTTCTGCGGTGTCGCCTTTCTCTTCTTTGCCGGCTTCTTCACCTCTTCTTCCTCTTCTTCCTCTTCCTCCTCTTCCTTGTAATCTGAGACATCGTCGCCGTCATCTTCGGGCTGTGGAGTAGCTGTTTTCTGACGTTTTCGTGAGGCTGGGGTGCTCTTCTTTTGTTGTGCTTTCGGCTTCGCAGGTGTTGGTGCAGGAGATTCTTCCTTAACTCTTGCTTCCTGCTTTTCTTCTGGTTCCGGTCCCTGTGAATCTCGATCAAGTGCTGTCTATACCACCCCGACTCGCGTTAGCCGTAGAACCAATAGCACACTTCTCCATCCATAGATTATCTCCGTGAACAAGGACTCACCACTTCTTCCTTGATAATCTGATCACTCTTCGTCTTCCACACACCATCACCTCTAAAGAACCCCTTCTCAATCCCCAAAGCCTTCTCCGCCGCAAGTCGCATCCGCTTGACCGTCAATTCATCCGTCTTGCCTGACTTGAAGGTATCCGCGACGACATCGCGTAGCGCTTTGTCTATCTGCTTGTCAGAGGGACGGGAGGATGTGAGGGGTTGGTCGGAGTCGGAGTCGGATTCTGGGAGTGCTTTTCGCGGGGGCATATTGATATCTCGTTCTGTCGTCTAGTTCGTGAGAGGAGTAGTTCGTATGACGCGACGGGGAAGAAGGTAGGTCACGCGCGCTGGGTATGCGAGAGATAATCAAAAGGGACAGGCTTTAATAAATGCAAATAAGCAAACGAATCGAATATATTCACTGCAATGCGTAATGCCACAATTCCTTTGTCTCCGTATCAGTCGCAAAAAGTATCGCGAAGGGAAGACGAGATCGCAGCAGGACTTCCATATCGGGTATCATTGCTGACAAAGCAGCAGATCTTCGAAGTAGATGTGATTCGGAGATTTCTTTAATTGCATGCTCAGGACACCAGAAACCGATTCTATAAAATCTCTTATGAATATAACGATTTCACAATTCATGATAATCTGGTCTATCTGATTGTTTACTGCCTTTATCCCTTTGCTCGCCGTCCGGTTCACCTCCGAGTTTCTCCGCTGCCCACCGGCGCATTATAAATCCAAAGCCTGCTTGGAACGAGAGAAGGAGAAAGAAATATACCTGACTCCTACGGCTCCTTTGGACTTCGCTTGCTTCAAGTCTTTTTATCTGCAGAGCATCAACACACAATGCCAGAACCAACGAGAGACGAGGAGACCTCGCAGGCCAACCTGCCCAAGGGCGTTGTGCTAGACAAGGACGGCAAACCGTACGTATCCAACACTCCAAGCGTAAAAGCAGACAACCAAAATACAGAATACATCTTCTAACGCATCAATCTACAGATGCCGCACCTGCACCTCCGCCGCCTCATGGCGCGCCCTTTCCAAACAAGCAGCGCAATCCAATTCCGACTCCAAAGACAAACCCCAATCCTCCACCTCCTCAGCATCATTCCCCCTCCCCAAGTCCATCTCCTCCGCCGCATCAACCAGTACCCTCCCCTCCTCTCCATTCCCTGCCACCGACAACCAATGCCCACCGGACGTCGAAATCCTCGGCCGCTCAACCTGGACCCTCCTCCACTCCCTCGCGGCCGCCTACCCCACACGCGCCAACCCCGAGAAACAAGACGAAATGCGCACGTTCCTGAACGTCTTCTCGAAGCTTTACCCGTGCTGGGTATGCGCGGATGACTTCCGGGCTTGGATGGCGGAGCCTAGTGGGAGGAATCGGCCGCGATTGGGGGGGAGAGCGGATTTTGGGTGGTGGATGTGTGAGGCGCATAATGAGGTGAATCGGAAGTTGGGGAAGAAGGAGTTTGATTGTCGGTTTTGGGAGGAGAGGTGGAGGACTGGGTGGAAGGATGGGAGGTGTGATTGAGTTAGTGTTGGTATTGGGAGTAAGTATATGGCTGGCTTGGATATATCGTATGGATAGTCTCTAGAACTTGTATTTTTATAGTCATGATAAGGATGGCAAACGAATATAAACATCTCTATTCTTTTACTGACTGAAACTCAGGATATATATGTGTAAAGTACATTACAACTGGAACTGAACAGGACAAACTACTTCCCATTTTATACAAACCACAAACATAACAAGATCTGAAAATAGCTGAAGTCGCTAAGAAATTATATGATAAGAAAAACGTGCAGTAAACGGACAAGGACGTCTACCCATGGCGCCGCCCCAACAAACAAGTTTAAACACATTTGACGCTCCACACGTCAGGGAACTGAAAAATGCAAGACACTAAAACCGTCACATTTCATCATCTTCAGTACTGGCCGGGGACGAACAGCCGCAGTCCGCTGGCCGGTGCCCCGATCTCAGTTATGTCGGATATCCTACACACGGTGCCCTTGTATTGTTCATGATACTTGGCACCAGTGAAGGGGTCCGACACGCTCGGGGAGCCGCCGTAGATAGGATTGTGCGAGGCTGCGCAAATGTCGAATTCGGCGAACTGGTCAAATTCAGTGTCGATCTTGTCCTGGGGGTTGCGTTCGCACTGGGGCTTGATCTTCCGGGCCTATTGACTAGTTAAAATACAGTGTTATGATATCAATGGTAAATGAAGCATACCTGGTCCAAAAGCTTAGAGGAGCCTCCGTTGGCCAGCATACGGTTGGCAAAGCTGAGAGCGGACGAATAGTTCTTGTTGGCAAAGGCAAACTTCATTGCTGCCATAAGTGCAAGCTGTCGGTGAGCAACCTCCAGCTTAGGAATGGTAAAGTATGCGGAAAGCTCAAGGCTTCGCTTGAGGTTCTCGGGAGATTCGATGTCGAGGGACCGACGTTCCAACTCGATAGACATCGCAAGAATGTACTCTCGGGCGGTTTCAATGATTTTCTTCGCTTGCTCGACCTCAGCTTCGGAAGAGACGGCATTAACCAAGACAGCGTGCAGAATTCCCCGGAAGATTTGGACACCATCCTCTAACTTGTTGGCCCTCATAGCCGCATATCCTTCCTGCAAGTCCGCATTGGCAATAGTCTCCAAGTCCCGCGGGATGACAGGGAGGAGATTCCGGATATCTGTCTCTTCAGTAGTCCGTCGCACATAGTTGACTAAGTGAGGGAGACCGGCGGTGGCAGGCAGATATGTCTTGGACGCCTTGTAGACCTCGAGGAATCGACTCTTCAGAGGAGCAAAGTTCACAGCGCCCACTTGGCGGTTGAGAAGCTGCATGGCAGACTCAAAAGAGCCGGCAGCGACGTGGTCAGCAGCCAATGGGGAATTACGAGTCCAAAGGTCAGCCTCGGAGCTGCCTGCACCAGTCTCCGCACTCTCCACATTGACAAAGTCAGCATCTTCCTCGACGTTAATCTCATCACCCATATCCCAACCGTCGACATCCTCTTCTTCATCATCAAGAGTCTCGCGAGCGAGGCCAGCCTCTTCCTCTTCCTCCTCGGACTGCAACCCGCCGGCTTCGACTTCCTCGTCCGCCAAGCCAACTTCACCAAGAAGCGCCTTTTCAAAGGAAGAGTGAGCTGCAGCCTTGACAGGCCAATTCGATTTGAAGGTGGACACGACAGGCTGTGCAACACGGATAGGTTCTTCGAGGGTCGGAAGGGAGATCTGATCTTCGGTGAGACCGCAGGCCTCAAGAATGGATTCAGCCTCCTCAGTCAAGCCGTTGGCCTTGGCAGTGAGGTAGGCAAGAGGATACAGATCCACTTCCTTGAACATCTGGATCCTGTCTTCAACGTCACCGCGGTAGATGGCATTCTGGAAGCGTGATGTGAAATCGCCACGGTGCTCAGCAATCTTGGCCATTCTGCCCAGCTTGTCGGAGTCACCTGTCGACAGGTAGAGGAAGGAAAGCTTGTCGAAATGACGCTGCTTCTGGTAGGTCATCTCCACCGTTTGGTGGTTGCCGTGGGCCAGAGCCTCAACACCGAGTCTACTCCACAGGTTGGGACGATCCAACTCCTTGGCCATCTCCACAGCGACTTCAAGGTTGCCACACTCAAGCGCAAGTTCGAAGCGGGTTTGGGGATCCTGAACGAATTGTAAGGCGATTTCCGGATAACCCTTCTTCTGGAGATAGGAGATAATGCTTTGACCAACCAAGCTGGAGGTCTTGATGATCTGGAGCATTTCGTCGTAGTTCCTCTTGACCAGGGCAAGCTTGAAACGGTACTCGGTGGGGTCGATCTCCAGGACCTTGGGCTTAGCGTAACGGTCAAGGCTGTAGACGCTGCGTCCCTTGACCTTGACAAGGTAGACGGTCTGGTCAAGGGTACGGATAATACCGTTATCGCTGTAGAATTTTGTCAGTCTTTACCTATGGCCGGAATGGTAGAGATTTGGTAACATACCCATTCAGGAGAGAATACTTGATGTGGTTCAAGGTAGAGTACAGGAGCACGCCAGCGTCGTCCCAAGCGGCACTCTTGATACGGATGGTCTCGTGCAAGCTGCTCACTTGTTCCAGCGTCTTGGTGACAACGGTGACATTGTGCTTGCTGAGGAGAGCTGCGTAGAGACCATCGTTAGACCAGACGACGTACTTAACACCGCTCACGGCCAGCTCTGCCAACTGCTTCTTGGCCTGGATGTCGAAGAGGACGACAGAGGTGGGGGTGATGAACAGCAAGCATCCGGTGCCGCCAAAGTAGATGTCGGTAGTTCCGGGCGGGGGCTTGATGCTCTTTGTAGTAGCGTTGCTGAGATCCTTGATATCAACCTGCTGGGCGGCGGCACTGAAGACGGCGAACCGATTGCGTGCGACAAAGACGGCGGACGAACCAGGGCCACGCTTCACGTCGGTAGGCTCGACGGCCCCAGTGGCATCTCTTGGAAGGTGAATCAACTCGTAAGTCCCGTTATCAGTTGGCGAAGTGACGAGAATGGCTCGCTCAGCGGGGTTGTAGGAAACTGTCCGCGGGGGAACCCAAGCGGAACCAAGCTTCCGCAGCGAAAGCATGGGCGGGGACTCGATGTTCTTCGCAAAGTCGTATGACTTAACGTTCTTCTCCTTGGTGATGTAGAAGAGCTGGTTCTGGTACACGGTCGATGCGGGCCTCTCTCTTTCCAACTTGAAGACCATGACACCAGTGTCGTGGCCAGCCGCGAACAGGTTAATCTCGGGGTGGGCGGCGATCACCCAGAATCTGTCCATATCGCGCTTGAACGACTGTACCGATGTCCTCTTGTTCAAATCCCATACTCGAATCGTCTTGTCTTCGCCAACGGAGAGGATCAGGTCCTGGTGGGGGTGGAACAGACAGGCCGATGCGTTCTGGAAATGTCCGCGGCAGGTATCGACCTCCCATGCTTTGGTCTCTGTTGGACAAGGTCAGCAGGCGTCTATGGAGAAGATAAAAATATGGGGACAGCCTTACCACTCATTCTCCAGAGCTTGATGAGACGATCATCACCAGCCGAAACAATGAGAGGTAGCGTCGGGTGGAAGGACACCCAGTTAACACCTCGATCGTGACCCTCCAGAACAAACTTGACAATCGCATCCGTATTTCCGAACATATCAGCCTGGTTGTTATTGGCCCGGGCTATTTGGTCTTCGAGTGAAATCGAGGTCGGGGCCGAGTGCTTCTTCCGCAATCCTGAAATGTCCCAGATACGAACGGACTGGTCGAGCGAGGCGGAGGCAATCAAGTCTTCCGTAGGGTGAAACTGCGCGCACATCACATAATGGTTGTGACCCGTCATTGTACAGACTAGACAATGACCCTTATGTTAGGATCCTCCAAATTGTTTGGAATTGGACAGGTGGCCAACTTACTCAACGACCTGTTCTGCCAGTTCCATATCCGGATTGTCTGGTCGTCGGAGGCAGACACGATCCAGGGAAGTTCATGGTGGAAGAATACTGTCCGCACGTAATCCAAGTGTCCATTCAATGTGAATAGACATCTCCGTGTCTGGTAACTCCACACCTTGATCTTATAGTCGTCACCTCCGGAGACGAAGAGGGGCTGCGTCGGGTGGAAGTTAATGCCGCGAACGGGGCCATCGTGTTCTTCGAATCGGTCGATCAGGGTACCCATGCGGTAGTCCCATAGCTGAATTGTGGAAGAATGAAGGGAGACGAGGATCCACGGTCTGTTGTCGATGCAAGGTCAGCCCAGCGCTCGCGGGTTGCGACGCATCAACATCATCATCTCCGAACTGACCGTTTAGGATGAAAGGCAATTCCCTTTGCTCGGGACGATTTCGACTCAAACTATAAGACATACAACGGTTAACCATGCCCTAGTCGAAGCGCCAGACATATGACAGGAGAGACGTGCCTTGGTGAGCATGTTTGGGGAGGACTGCATCTTGAACGAACGTAGGCCGGAGCCGCACCATATAGAGCAAGCTCCGCACACTCCAGAGGGGTATCAAAGAGATTAAATAGGGCAGAATTGTCCGCCGTATTCCACCTGCAATTCCACACGAAGAGAGACAAATCGAGATAAATAATGGAAGCAGATGAATGGCAGAGAGCGTTCGTTATAGGGGAAGGTTGACCTGGACAGCGGTAACGTGGACTTTCTGGCGTCGAGCCAATAAGCGAATCCCGCGGGCCAATGATGGCCTGGGCGGTGAGCGCGCTTCTACAGGAGGCTCTTCATCAAGAGACTACATTCTATTGCTGTTCTATTTGTTTGTTTTTTTTTGGACTGTCTATCTAGATATGATAATTCCAGAGATAGAGGTCCCAAAGGGCACTGGAGCTTATGGCTGCCATACGCCAGACCTTCCTCTTTCCGCAAGTGGTTCGAGACGCTTCCATAAGGATCGCGAATGATAACATGAACCACTCTTCAGGAACCGCGTGTCGACCATGATTTTGCTCTTTTGCTCTTACATTTCCTCATTCTTGCTAACATTAATCTCAAGCTGACCATTTCATCAATAGGCTTCATGGCATACAACGCTGTAGAAAGCCTGTTACTTGAGAGACCCTCGCTTGATCCCCGCATATATGAGATAAGATGAACGAGGAACGTTATCCGGGCGATTACCATGTTCAAGATGGCCCATCAATATATTGGCCATTCCCGAAGAACAATACCTTTACATCCTACCAGGAGCTGGTAGTGAGGCCCTATGCGGTTGAGGAACCGGATGATGAAGCAGAGGACCAAATCTGGGAAACTACGGAGCCAATTCCACAATGGCAGAGAGAACTGTTGGAATCACTGGACGAACTTGCGTGCGAGTCAGATACTAGTGCTTCATTGAGATCCAGTCCCACGAGAGGCCAGAAGAGAAAGTCCGCCAGCACGTCCTCTCAGGATCGTTACCCTGACCAATCGCCGTCATTGGACCCGGACCTTCGGCCGGACGACTCGGAATCTGAGACGACCAATATGAGCCCGAAAAGACGGCGTAGAAAGTGCCAGAGCAAGCAGTTCAGAGCCAATTTGGATGCTGCTGATGCCGCGTTTCTATCTCACCACAGCTACGGGCTGTCTATGAGCCCCAGTTCGGAATCCCAGTTTGCAGATGCAAACAGCAGTGGTTCCACGAGCAATGGAGCTGCTACACCCGACGAAATGGACATGGATTGAATTCGAGCAGTACACATCGGCGGCGAATGTTGCGCTCCGATTGGCCGCTGCCAATCCTGTCACGTGACATTACGTCTCGACGTTATCTAAGCATATATGACGTCACACAGTCATATCGCCCTTCGACGTCCATCGGTTTTCTGTTCCATTTCAGGTCAAACGGCTTTGAATACTGGATCCAGAGGACATCATACAACTCAATTGACCTATCTGTCACGGCAATCGCACCCGTCACGCAATAATGGCTGCAACGCGAACTTCGTCCCGCCAGGCCGCCCAGAAGGCCAAGGAAGCGATTACAAGCACTGCGGAGCCTAGGGGTCAAGGAGCTGCTGGAACCAAGCGCAAGGGAGCTACCGAAAAAGCTCCGGAGCCAAAGAAGGGAAAGAAGGGCGGCCAGGAACCGAAGAAGGAACCGGAGGAGAGCAAAGAAGAAGTAGACCAGAAAGCGAAGGAAGAGGAGCCTCCTAAGCCATCGCATGACGATAACAAAATAAAGGAAGAGGGGAAGGCGACGGAGGAGGAGAATGGGGAGAAGGAAGAGGAGAAGGATGAAGAAGAACCAAGCAAGGCCGGTGCAGGTAGGGTCCATATCATCCAGCGTTTTGCACGCAACACTGAAGCTAACCTGTCGCGTTTAGAAGCTGATGAAAAGCCCGCTAAAGAAGACGAGAAGCCATCCGATGGTATTGAAGCCGGAGTCAGGAAATCGCAAGAGAGAGAAGACATCGTGCCGTCAAACATACTCGAAAAAGGCATCATTTACTTCTTCTATCGCCCGCGCGTCAATGTTGAAGAACCACACAGCATGAAAGAAATCGCCCGAAGCTTCATTGTCTTACGCCCAACACCGATAGGGGCGACAATCGATGAGAAGCAAGGCTCGCTCGAGCCAGGCGCGAGTTGTCGCTTGATCGTCCTTCCCAAGAAGAAGTTCCCAACATCAGCTAGAGAACGGGATATGGCATTCGTGGAGAAGGGCGGGCAGTCTATGAAAGAGTTGAAGGAAAGCTTCATCTCTGGAGGCAAATACGAAACCTCAACACGAGGCGAGCGCACTGTTGAAGAAGCCAGGCCATATGCTGAAGGAGTATATGCCATCACTTCGACGAAGCGGGCCTCACACCTTGCCTACATTATTACCATCCCCGATGAACTCGGCTCAGTGCAAGAAGATTTCGGTCTTTGCGGGCGCGGTAGCTGGATCGTGCAGGCCAAGAACCCTAAATACCCCGGCCCAGCTACTGCGCAGCTTCCCAAGAGCCCTGAGTATCCTGAGGAGTAAGATTTCCTTCATCTTGAGTGTCTTCTGTGCATGTTGATGACTGACGCAATGACCAGAATCCGCGAGAAATTCGCTGATTACCGATGGGTGCCACTGGAACCTGTATTCATCAACTACCCCAACGCGCAAATCCTCATGATCGGTGAAGCCCAAGACGAACTTGGAAAGGCTGCCATTGCGGAGCCTGATGGCAAGAAAGAGAACCAAGAACAACCGGGCGAGGAGCTGGAGAAACTCGAGCATGAGAATGAAGAGCGAATTGAAGCTTTGCAGGGTAAGTTACTCCAACTCGGTGATCTCACACCGGTGATCTCACACGCATGATCACTTACTGACTTCAATAGGCGATGCCACTGTGTACCAAGATCTGGGATTGGATGCGAAGAATTATCCCCAGGTACCGACTACTTGGGATGACCATTCCTAACTCTGCGCTGGAGAATCGCCGGTAAGCTCGTGTACCAATAGGACGCAACGAATGTATCGATATACTCCTATACATGTATGGAATAATATCTGACTGCTTGTTTAATAAAATTGGTTCTTTATGAATTTATCGGGCACTTTGTTCTCAGCCGAGGTCTATTGTCAGACTTCGCAGCATTCCATGCTAATATTCACTTCCAGAAAAGGCAATACAATACAACAATTGCTTACTGTTTATATCTTTAATAATATCTGAGACAGTCAACCATTCACGCAAGCGAAATTCAGCCCGTGCCCATCATCCCACACTAACAAAGTTAACTTTGATTTGCACGTGGGGAGCTGATTGATATATATTCACCAGCTCATCGATCAGAACATCTAAAACTCTCACTGTTTCCCATTCTCCCAATTTCAATGAGAATCTCGACAAAGTCATGAAACTCTCACAGTTGATATCTGCGCTACCTCTGGTAGCTGCTTCTACAGCTGCTTCTACAGCTGCTGCAAAGAATGTCGTGAATCAAACAACATGCGGAGGCACGACATACACATACAATGAACTAGCCGGATACGGTTTCGTGCCCTCAAACGCAACAGACAAATACGGCGACACGCTAGGAGGCTATGGAAGTTCTGCCGCAATTGACCAGTCTTCCTGGCGCAAGACAGGCAATGGCTCGTATGCGGGGATTGTCTATACTCTTCCAGATCGTGGATGGTAAGTCCTTGTCACATGAAATACAAACATAATATAATAAATTGATTGATGACGACAGGAACACAAACGGAACTCTCAACTTCCAATCCCGCATCCACAAACTAGGCATCTCACTTACCCTCGCCCCCCACGCCTCAGCATCCAACCCCTCAAAACCAAATCTCCACCTGAAATACCTAGACACCATCCTCCTCACCGGCCCAGACGGTGAACCAACCACCGGCCTCGACGCCGATATCACCGGCCACGCCTCCTACCCAGGTTTCCCCCCATTACCCGTCGCGACATACGAAGGCGATGGCTTCGGGGGCGCAGGACCAGGCGGGAAGCGCATCTCAATCGACAGCGAAGGTCTAGCATTAGGTCATGACGGGACATTCTGGATCTCCGATGAATACGGGCCGTATGTGTACAAATTCGACCGCAATGGGAAAATGCTCCTGGCCATTCAACCACCCGATGCCTTTCTGCCCCGGCGCAACGGAAGTATCAGCTTCAACTCTGACTCCGCGCCTATCTACGCACCGGAGAAAATCCCCATCCCAGAGGATACAGAGACAGGCCGTGATAATAACCAGGGTCTTGAGGCTATCACCATCTCCCCTGACGGAAAGACATTATACACGATGATTCAATCCGCGCTGGACGCGGAGGGCGGTCCGAAAAAACGACATCGTCAACCGGCGCGGATTCTCGAGTATGATATTTCTTCTCCGGATACACCTGTGTACAAACATGAATATGCGGCGTTGCTCCCGAAATACAGGGACTACACCAAGTCCGCGGACGACAAGAAGGCCTACTGCGTCGCGAGTCAGTCTGAGATTCATATCCTCCCGTCAGGCGATTTCCTAGTCCTAGCCCGGGACTCAGATTTTGGCAATGGGCAGGAAAACACGCGTTCTGTCTACAGGCATGCGGATGTCTTTTCCATTTCGAACGCTACAGATCTTAAGGGCTCGAAATACGATTCCGCGAGCGGATCCATCGCATCTAGCAAAGGTGTCTTGAGCTCCGATATCACGCCGGTAGAGTACTGTGAGTTTGTGGACTACAATGTCAACTCTGAGTTGGCGAGATTCGGACTGCACAATGGTGGGAAGACGGGTCCGGGGCTTCTGAACGAGAAGTGGGAGAGTTTGGCACTTGTTCCTGTGGACCCGGAGTCGAGTTCGTCTGGGGGCGAGAAGAAGGAGTATCTTCTGTTCAGCTTCAGTGATAATGATTTTATGACTCAGGATGGTGAGTCCCTTTTCTTTATGTCTTATGACGGCTGGTTGGGGTGGAGTTGCTAACTTGTTGGTTCTAGGGCATATGAACTTTGGGAGATTCGACTATGCCGATGAGTCGGGATACAATTTGGATAACCAGGTTCTTGTCTTCAAGATTTCTTTTTGAACTGAGCATTTAATTTGATATTTGATAGAAACATCCCGTGAATAGAAAAGAAGTGGACATTGGTCATTCTGTAACACTGGTACAAGTCATCACTGTCAGTTATGTATTTCCAGTAGCCCCCGATAGACACCAACAAAAACGCCCGTCACAATTAGAATAAGTAATTACCCATAATACTATCAATTAGAATAAAATGAAACCACACGGTCCTTTTCCCTTTTGTTTTTCCTCGGGCTCTCACTGTATGAGCTTAATAGCCCGCAAGATATCATCCAACGACCATCCAGGTCCACCAGGAACAATCTCAGCCCACACACCCTCTGGAACGGCATCTTCAGGACCCAAGAGACTCCAGTTGGGACTGGCTTCAGGCTTGATCCATTCAAAGTCTTCAACTTGGCTCCAGCGATCTTCGTAGTCGGGGCGGTCGTGGTCGAGGGCCTGATGATGTCTGTTAGCTTTCTTCACAAAGATATTGGACGGGAAATGACTCACGTATGCCCTAGGCGTGCGCCCGAAACGGACATTAGAGCATCCTTCGATGATGGGATTACTTGTTGAGCTCAGATAGACATCCACGTTCCGGCAGTCGTGCATACGGAACTGGCGACAAGACACCACGATGACGCTATGCTCAACACCGGTGATATGCGCAGGTCCGTCAATCTGTCCGCAGACTAATAAGCTCTCCTTGACATCGTTCACGGTCAAGCTAGCATACGGCTTGCCGTTGTTGGTGGGAATGGACATGTCGACGACGCAGTGGCGCAACGAGGTTATAGAAGCAGGAACAGCAGAAGCAGATCCCGAAGCCGGGAGCATGATATGAAGGTCATGGTGGCTGTTAACAGATACAGAGGACAAGACATTTGCCGCGAAGGCCTTCTTTTCTGATTCCTTAGGCTTTTCTTCGATATAACCGACAGAAATTGACGGAACGGAAGTTGGCACAACCTCTGGCCTGTGCTGTTGCAGGATATTGTCCGGCTCGTTCAATGGCGTCGAGGGATACAGAGGGGTGTTGTTTGCAGATGAGCCAACCGACGACGTTCCAGGCGAGCGATATCCGGGAATACCACGACAGCCCTGGAAAGCCATATCAGCTGCATCAGAGAGCGAAATAGCGGCAGGATTCTTTCTCGTCTTGAAGCTAAACTTCGAACGTGGTTCAACGACAGCACGAGTCTCCGCCAGCTTGTCCTGGAGTGCTTTGATGGCCTGGACGATTGTCAACACATATCCCGAGAGCTAATGCCAGATCCACCTACTTCTGCATATATTCGCTGGTCATAGGTTGGAATATAACTCGCCGCGTCCTTGACCTCGTTGGACAGTCGTGCAATCCCAGCTAGACAGTGATCGGTGGCATCAGTCCGCTCTCCACCCACCAGCGACGTATCCGCCAGACGCTCCATTTGCTCCTGGAGTGCTAACACAGGTCAGCTCACCATCTACGCAGTATTAGCGTTTAGACTAGGGCACCAACCAGTGATCTCATGCTGGAAGTAGCGGAAGAACCGTTCCTTGAGCGGGATCTCGGCTCTCAGGATGGTCTGGCTCTCGGCCTGGGACAGCCGGCGCGGTTGTTCGAGCTCGGGTACGGACATGGTGTATGTAACAGAGTGCAGTGTGTTATCAACAGAGTATGTTAGAGGACGAGGCCGGTAGATGTAGACAATCTGAGGGAGAATGTTTTGATGACGTCGATCCGGTGTCAGTCAGGTAGCCGATTTTACGTAGCCGGAGTACCAGTATGGAATCGGAGAACGTGATTTAAATAGAGGGGACAATAGTAGCGATTCTCTTCGGTAGTCAGATCACAACTAAGAAAAGAGCAGCGATGGTCTAGATATAAGACAGTTATCACTGATGCCAATCAGGCAATCGGCGGGGTTGGTCCAGAGGAACTGATTCTCTGCAGAGTCAAACCACACTGGGTAAGGGAGCAAGCTCAGTAGTTAACAAGAAGTAGTATATTGGACTCTTAAATAGCTTCATAAAAAGACAATAAAAGAACAAAAAGCAACGTCTACTGCTCCATGACGGTAGTGACGTCGTCCACAAAGCGGGGGTCGGGGGTTGTTTTCTCCGGAAGATCACCCGTTTTGGCAGGTCGTCGCCTGAGGTAGTCAATCCTATCGAGAACTATGTAGTTATTTAGTATTTACCTGTAGACTAACGTGTACTATTTCTACAACTGATGCTAGATACAATTATAATCGCAATCAATTCGATGCAAGTTCCGGCAAGTCAGGCCTGAGGCTAATCGACGGACCCCTCTCTTCCACAACAGGACTGGACGGTACACCAATCCTTGGTGACTGTGTCCCCGAGCTTGCACTTGGTGTTCGCTCTGCTGTCAGACGCTCAAAATCTGCCCGGAGGTCATAGTCGTTGATTGCCTCGCCGTTATCATTTAGTCGAACTGTCCGGAGCATGAGCTTTTCGTCTTTAACCCAGAATACCAAGAGGATGTTTTCTTGGAGGAAGGAGAGTAATAGCTTTCCGGGTCTGAATGCCGATGAGGTTATTTTGGAGGAGGCTTTTCTAATTCGGATGGGGTTGAACGGTCCGTCTGGTTTGTAGTCGCATATATATATCTCGTTGAGGCTGTTTGCGATTGCGTATCGCGAGCCGGAGGGGGATTGAGCAGCGTGAAGGATCTTGGTGCTGAATGAGGAGCCGGTGGCTTGCCCATTAGATGTTGAGAATAAGAGAGGGTATTCTTTGTTCGAAAAGGCTGTTAGGAATATAGAGTTATGAAGACTGTTGTAGAACGCGCCAGTGAGATTCCCGTCAATTGATGTATTCTGCGCTGTTAGCAATTGTAATAATTATTGTAGACAGAAGAGAGAATGGACCTACTTTAATAGAATAAAAGCCACCCTTTGCAATGTTCCATACGTCTGTATCGCGGTGCCACACATCGAAGTATACAGATTGGCTCTCAAGACGAGCAAGGACAAGTCCATTTCCATCAACGGAGAATGCGATCTTTCGATGAGTAGCTGCTTTCTCCTGGGCCCACCTAGGGCTTTCATTGATGGTGACTTTCCGAATGGACCTAGCCTCCAGGTCATAAATGTTCCCGAGTTCATAAACGTGGACTTGGTTCTCCAGTATAAACGCGATATGCCTGTCATCACGGGACATAGCTATACATTTAGAGCGGAGAGAAAGACCTGAAGTGTCGATGGTTACAAGGGCCTCTGCAGAGACGCCATTGGGTCCAAATATAAGGAGCTCGTAATGCTAGAGCGAGTCAGTATCAGTCTGGATATCAAAACAATCAGGGTGTAAATACCTGTCCCACTGAGGAAATGACAGCACAGCGCTGTTCTCCTGCTGCAACACACTGAACGCCTGAGACATCATATCTGAGTGCTTCAGGGTTTTGCCCATCTATCGTCGGTATATCAAAACGCGATATGCAACTACTATCCTCGCCCCAGAAAAATAGACTCTTGCCACTGGAAGAAAAGCAAAATCTGGGCTGGCGTGACAGCCGCTGTTCTCTCAACAGACCTTTCCGAATCAAGGACGCCCGACGAACAGGAAGAGCTAACTTGACACCCTTCAGCTCTCTGGAAAAAGACTTGACCATCTGTTTCTGCTGACTCTTGTCTAACCAGGGCGCGGAGAGATGGTTTAGCGAGCTCGCCATCGCATATAGAGATTGACTGCTTTTCATTTTCGGCATACTGGTACTTGGGGAGGATGGTTTTGAGTCACCAAAGCCAATAGAACGACGGGTAGAATGGCTCATAGAGCTTGATCGGGAGGCTGTACGTCCGGATATTGATCCAAAGGCTGATCGTCGGCTGAGAACACTGCCTGATTCGGAGCCGCTTTGTATCGCACTTGACAGATGTTCGAGCGGTTCTATAATCCGAGCGTGTTGAATTCTCGTGCCTTCAGGACATAGTGGACAAGAAGCATCGATTGAGAGGAGTTCTGGGATGGTCTGGAGCTGTTATATGAAGTTAACTTCAGGAATCTAGCACGCCATGTGAGATAGGACATGAGAATTGAGCCAAGTTTCTTGAGATATGACTTACCTCATCAGTATCGCTCCCATTCTTCGTCAACTGTTCCTCTAACAAGGCCTTGGGAACTGGATGGACAAAAGGGCAGTCTACAACATATACAGCACCGGCCTTATCTGCCTCGTTAGTTTGCCTCTCTGCTTCAGCAGGAGACGAGGTGTGTAGCCACTGTGTCAGATGTCTTTGATACTCGTGCGACACGACCTCTAGTTCACCGTTGCAGTCCCACAATTGAACCCTGCGATTGATGAGCCACCTCACAAAGTAGCTTAGAGAGCAATCTAACTCATTCCTGAAGCCAGCCATCTGGTTCCACGCATCTCTGACCTTGCGTGTTTGCAATGGCGGGTTTCCATCCCCGGTTTGACTCAGGATGATAGTCGCAAGAATCCTGAGCGCTGGTTTATCTGCTTGTCCATCTGCTGCTGCTAAGATAGTCCTTGCCAGTCTCTTTCTGGCATCTCCTGTCTGGACAAATGCTTCTTCGACGTTGTACGTCTTGTTCGAGTCCCCTTGCTGCTGGGGTATTCGGCGGGAGTCAACATGGCATTGGATAAGTGCGGATTCGGCGGCCCATAATGTATCAAATAGTGTCCAGAATGACGATGTATGATCCGGTCCTTTCCCGACGAGGCCGGTTAGGAGATCGGTAATATGGGTCTCGGGTACACTAGGGAAAGGATACTGCGACAGTTAGTTGATATGGAAATAGCAGGTGCAAGGATAAACTCACGAGTCCCGAGTTAAAAGACGGAAGAAGACGCCTCCCAGAGGCTGCCAAAGGGCTCTGACCGTTTGAAGTATCTGCGCTCCCAATATCATTGATGGCCCTCGGCAAGAGCACGTTGACCAAATAGCCCTCCTCATTCGACAGACCCGGGTGCTGCCATGCGGTTTTCATCGCGCGCTCCAAATTCGATCTCATCTCAGCATGTAAGGATTCCCCCCGCAGCAACAACAGTCTGACACCTGCAAGCACAGCCTCTGCCAGGAAATACCGGTACTGCGCACGATCACGGACCCCAGCTGCCGTCATGGGTAGCAATTCCGCCTTGACTCGAATGAGGTACATGAGGGCCGAGTAGATAGTCTCCGATGGTAGAAGATACGGGAGCAGGCTCGGGGGGCATTCGCGAACACTCGTTAGACCTTGTAAATAGGACCGTTGTAGATCGAAGATGGCCTTGATCCAAAAGACCATGCGCACCAACGGCTCGACATCCGCAATCAGTCCATTTTGCACTTGAGAAACGGCCAGTTGCGCGGCATGGTCTCCTATGATCTCTCGGAGGATGTTGGAAATATCAGTGCGACCTAACTGTTCCCACACAGCCGCCACAAGTGGATGTGACATGGAGATAGAGAGAGGGGGGGAGGAGGAAGAGGGAGAGAAACAGGGCGAATACTAGGTGGTTGTTTTTTTCAGCAACTCATCCCCTGACAGCGATAGAGATAAAAGATAACCTGGAAGTTCCTAGCACGGATGCTGACAGCGAGGCATAAGAGTAAGAAAAAAAAAAAAAAAAAAACGGGATTAGGCTGACGAGAGGAATTTCTGTCCTTCTGCATGAATGCGTGTTGGACAATCAACCCCGCTAGACGCCCGGTACAGCAGTAGACGCAAGGGCCGTTTCAACATCAGTAGCCAGGGAGGCAGAGGAAATGAGCTTCATTTTGGCGGAATCGACTGGGGAGATTTCAAATGGAGGGAGTTTCAGTGCTCATTCATTCCGGGGAGGCCTTTGTCTCGCAGCGTTTGTTCTATTGCTTCCGTTTCTTTGAACTCGGAGATGGCGTAGTATTGACGGGCAAGAGGACATGCTGCTATTGTCAATTATTTCTCTTCTATGAACAAATTCGAGATCTTCTGTTTCGGGTGTAACTGAGTCTAGCGACGGTTGTTGTGAAGAAGACGGAAACATGCATAGTTGGACTTTAATTAAGCGCGTTCCTACGGATCATTATGATGGACCCTCGGGTGATACATCACGGGCAGAAACCATAACAAATATCATGATCAGTCAGACCTAGTTTGTTATTTTACGTCTATTGTGATCTTCTTTATTATACAATTGCATAAATCATTTATTAGGTGCTGTATGGATGACATCTGTTGGATCAGCATCCTCCGGCTTTTTCCCATTAGATGAGTGCGACGATGGATAACTGGAATTGTACAGATTCTCAGCCAGGAAAACCGTAATGGCCGATGCCTGTGAGTGAGTCAGTGATTGGACAACCATAGGACGTGCTCCAAACATACCAGCGAAAGATCCATGCCCTCTGCGACTTCCGCCTCCCATGAAATGCGCTTCCCTGGTACATACACGGCGACCATATCTGCCAACTTCGTCCTCATCACCAGAGCACCGTTGAAATAGACATGCGTCCACTTCTTCCAGATATCCTGCCCGCGCACCTCGAGTAATACCTCCTCTCCGTCCGCAGCAGCATTTGCAAGATAGATATCGCATTTGTCCTTGAAAACACTCGATCTGGGCGCAAGCGTGGCCAATGGACGGTCCTCATCGCCAGGAATCTCAATGAAGAATGTCACGCCGGCTGCTTTCCGACGAAGGTTAAATAGGGGGAGACCAATGGCATCGCGGAAGATCCGTCGCTGACTCCATGATGTGAATTCGCCGTCGACGGTGAATAGCACCGGTGACTCTGAGCCCTTGGAAGAGCTGCCGGCTTCGGGCGCGACAGTTGTGACTTTGTAGTCAACCCCGGTCCGATTTGCGTGTTTAATGCGGAGTGTGGTGGGGACCGAGGCGATGTGCTCTGGGCGAAGAGCGATGGGTTGTTTGAGTAGCGCGAGTTCTGTTGCCATGGTTGAAGTTTTATGCTATACTATAACCGCTTGAATAGAATGCGCATGTGAAAATGGCCAGCAGGGGAAATTCTGTCTTCCTTGTTTTTACATATTAGGATTTTCCTCCTGCTGAGCCTCGTATTTCCTCATTGCCCCGCGTTCACAGCCACATGGCTTAGTGAACAATACCATCCAAAGTCGTATATGGCTTCACAGGCCCCTTTAGATCGCTGCCATGTACTCTACCCAGAAAATTTTACTGTCGCATTGCCCGCATTACGCGCTAGTGGATAGTCCATTTGGTAAATGCATCACATCTTCACGAGATACTTCCTGTACGTAAGCTGTCGCGTAGCACTGCAGCGAACAGCCCTGTAACTGATTATGTGACAAGCGTGCGTAACTAGTCCTCATGACCAGGGTCCGGGGATGAGCCTGCATCCGGGTTGGACCACCAGGCTGGGGAGTACGAACATGCGAACGGTGGGGTGTTTCAGGCGCAGCTCTGGGATCAATCAGGCCTTGTCACTGTATGAAATACGGGAGTGCTCCTCCAACATTGAGATGTACGCGCACTCTGTGTAGCTGTGAAAGATACGCCAAGGTCATCAGCTGATCCTTAGGTTCTAGGTATTGTTAGAAATACCTCTTAAACCAAGCCGTCCAAGATACGTCATTCCTTCCCATGCGAGTCCTGAGACTGGACCCTTGCCGGTGTCTGATGTCTGCACTAGTGCATTCCCAATACAGCAGCTGATTTCCAAATACGGCCCAGCGTCTCGGCAAATAGATCCAAAGCAGCCAATAAGAATGGGTCCCGGTCCACTTAATCGCCCTTTTTGGCGTGGCAAAAATCCCCATTACCGCTTTGGGTTTCCAACAGAGTCTTGTCAGTCGGGTCGGATATTTCAGCCCTGTGATTTAAGGTGTTATTGCACTCACATTCCAGATTGACAATGCCGGGGAGGGGAACATAGACGAGCGTTCAAATCTCGAAACATGTGGTATTACCCTTGGTTGCTGGCATCCGGCCCTTGGAGTCAATTCTCCCGTGGCGTTTACTTTGAGTAGACTCGTATCCCGATATCCCGATATCCCGATTATACGAGACCAGAAATCCAAGGTCCAGCATGTCCTGACTAACATTGAGTAGCGCCTGACAAACAACGGAAAGCTCCGGGTAGGACATCATATCCCGCGAGTCGCCGGTTGAGCAAACCATATCCGATTTACCTCCAATCAATGACTGTTTTTTAGAGATTTCCCCGATTTTAAGGTTTTTGTGTGCCACCCAGTCGGTAGTTTTCTGGATCTTTCTTTATGAATTCGCCTCGCCATATTGTATATACTGGAGGGCACTGCCGTTCCTTTGACACCAATTCTCTCGTTTACTCTGAAGTCTTGTCTTGATACTCAACCTATTGAGGTCTGCATATCTCAATGGTTTCATTCGCTCTCTTGTGGAGGCCTATGTGCCTTTTTCTTTCGTGTTCACAGACTACTTTCCCAGAGAAGCCTAGTTATCAGATTGTTGAGCAGCTTTATGGCGTGCCAGACGGCTGGACAGAAAATGGCGTGCCCTCACCATCAACACCGATGAAGTTCCACATGGCAGTAAGCAACGACAGGATGGCAGATTTCGAGCAAAGGGTCATCGATATCGCCACTCCTAGTCACCAGCTCTATGGCCAGTTTATGACACGCGACGAAGTCGGAGATTTTCTGCGTCCGTCAGATGACACCGTGAGTAGGATTATTGCATGGATGAAATCAGAGCGTGTGCCTAGCAAATCAATCGAGAGACGTGCGAATTGGATCACATTCACGGTCCCTGTGTCTCAGGCGGAGGATATGCTAAAAACGCGGTTCCACAGCTTCCGCAATGATGTTAGCCAGGAAACCGCAATCAGGACGCTGCAATATTCCGTGCCACGAGATATCCGTGATCATGTTCAAATAATTCAACCGACAACCAAGTTCGGACAATTCAGTGCCCAGGGTGCCCAGGAAAACCAACCAGATCTTGAACCTGTTGCTACCCGCTTCGATGACTTGAATGTCAACTGTTCAACCACTGTCACCACAAAATGCCTTCGGAGGCTGTATGGTATCTATGATACCGAAGCGAAGCCAGATCCACGGAACAAGCTTGGTGTGTCTGGGTTTTTGGATCAATACGCTCGCTACGACGATTTCAATACCTTTATGCGCACATATGAACCAGATCACACCGATGCCAATTTCAGCGTGGTTTCGATCAATGGTGGTCGCAACGATCAAAACTCTTCCTTTAGCAGTACTGAGGCAAGCATGGACATTCAGTACGCGGTGGCACTGGCCTATAACGCCTATACAACGTACTATACAACAGGAGGACATGGTCCCTTTGTGCCAGAAGCCGACCAACCCAACGTCGGTAGTTCTTCTAACGAGCCCTACCTGGAGCAGCTCCACTATATTCTCAATCTCCCAGACGAGGATCTCCCTTCTGTTCTGTCAACTTCGTACGGCGAATATGAGCAGATTATCCCCGCATCTTACGCAAACGTCACTTGTAACATGTACGCCCAGCTCGGGGCACGTGGAGTTTCGGTGATTTTTGCAAGTGGTGACTCTGGTGTTGGGGGATCCTGCGTGTCAAATGACGGTACCGGACGGACAAGATTCATGCCAACCTTCCCATCCACGTGCCCCTTTGTCACATCTGTCGGTGGAACATTCGGAGTCGATCCAGAGAAGGCTGTTGGCTTCTCTGGGGGTGGTTTCTCGGAATACTTCCGACGCCCGGCATACCAGGATGAGAGCGTCCACGGCTATCTCGATCAACTGGGTGACAAGTGGGAAGGCTTGTACAACCCAGAAGGAAGAGGATTTCCTGACGTTGCTGCCCAGGCCAGGGGCTTTGTCTTTGTAGACCACGGTTATTTCACGAAGCTTGGTGGCACAAGGTTTGTCTTCCAACCCTAGACCTTAGAAAAGAACATGCTAACTGATCATCCAGTGCTGCTGCGCCTGTCTTTGCAGCTATCGTCTCCCGCTTAAACGCCGCTCGTTTAGAGCGCGGCCAAAACAGAATGGGTTTCCTGAACCCGTGGCTTTACTCGCTCAACCACACGGGTCTTACAGACATCTTGGATGGAGGATCAGTCGGTTGCACCGGATACTCCGATGTTGGTGGTCGTGCATCAATTGTGCCGCACGCTAGCTGGAATGCCACCCCAGATTGGGATCCTGTCACTGGCCTGGGAACCCCAGATCTGAATACCCTCATTAAAGTTGCGTGTTCAACAGAGGGGACATAATAACGTTCATTGGAAGCTAAATTTTGATCTGGTCGTTTTGTATATACCACCATAAACAAAAATCCTTGCGTCAAGCTATCCTGCCAAAGGGCTTTTCAGAATATAGAACCTCCCAAGTATCAAACAAGAAGCGTAGTAGTAGTAGTAGTAGTAGTAGTAGTAGTAGTAGTAGTAGTAGTAGTAGTAGTAGTAGTAGTAGTAGTTGCTATTTTACGTCGGAAAAGTGGCACGTGCGCTGGTCACGTGCCCACAAAGATCCCGGAGCGGAATATACGACGGGCGAAGCGGACTCGCCTATCTAGTAGCTAAGCTAATTCTATCATACATGCTGGCAAAGGCTCTCCCGTAGGAGCCCGCCTATGATTATTGGGGCCACGTTCAGCGGCGCAGCAAGAAGCGTAGTCAAGACGAGGTCGCCCAAAAAGGATATGGAAGCCCCACGTGACTCACCGCTTGCCCAGACGGAGCTTCGCCATGAGCTGCGCCGACAACGTCAGAACACCTTCTCGCCCAAATATCCTCTATCACGTTTCAACCCCGACTATCATCGTTAATCCATAACACCTCTTTCCTTTAAACTACCGTCTTTAGAATATCTCACCATGTCCGATCTCCGGTCAATCGTCCCAGAGCTCCGCAACGCTCTGGACCGCAACCAACTCGACGCAGCCAACAACCTCCTCAGCCGCGCAAAGCGATCCCTCCTGCTGGAAAATGCCTTGATCCCGACCCCCTCGACATCTCCCCAGCTGATCTCTCTGGCCCGCGAGGTGCTCGAATTCGGCGCCATCGCCTCAATCAGACAGACCGACGCAGATGCGTTCACGAGATACTACCAACAGCTGCAGCCGTTTTATGACCTGGAGAGACATGCGTCGACGCCCGGAGCGAGCGCAGGGAACGTGGACTTTAGCACCAGCCAGAGGAGCAAGATTACAGGGTTGTATCTGCTGCTGTTGCTGAGCTCGGGTAATAGCACTAACTTCCACACCGTGTTGGAGGGACTGGTTGAGGAGGCTAGTTTGAATGGAAAGAGTGTTGAGGATGACCCGTATATCAAGTATCCTGTTGATTTGGAGAGGAACTTGATGGAGGGTAGCTACGATAAGGTGTGGAGGGAGACTAAGTCGGAGAGAGTGCCGTCGGAGGATTTCGGACTGTTCTCTAACGTATGTTTGCATGACGGGTGTCTATCCTTCTTATGAATAAGAAAAAGGTGCTGACTATATGATTTGGAATAGGTCCTCGTTGGAACTATTCGCAGCGAGATCGCAGACTGCTCCGAGAAAGCGTACCCATCCCTGCCTATCTTCAACGCCAAGAACCTTCTCTTCCTCGAATCCGAAGGTGCCGTTATTGAGTTCGCCCAGCAGCGTGGCTGGATCCTTCGTGATGGTCGGATACACTTCCCCGTCGAGCCGGAGCAGGCCGCCCGGTCTGAGAAGGACATCTTGGTGGCCAGCAGTACTGTGATTGAGAACACGATAGGCTATGCCCGGGAGTTGGAGACAATCGTTTAATTTACTGTCTATACGGTTGTTATAATTCTATTCAATCTCGGTCGTGGTTGTATTTCTATCTCTTTCTTGCATTATGATCTAATCGAGCGTTTCTCATGACAATCTATAACGATAATTTTGGTGCCGTTTATATCCAAAACATATATCGCCAGATTATACGTTCATCCTCCATAAACACACGCGGCGGTCATAAAAGCTGGAAGAGAGGCAGAGCAATTCAGACTTTTTCCCTCCGATGCCCTGTCCACCCTTCCATACATCAGACGCATAATTCATGCTCTCATGTTCCGTAAACTCAGCCAGAACCTCAATATTCCACTGATGTTCCCCGTCACCCGTAATCCTCACCACTCTCGCCCCGCCATGCATACAGCTGGCGAGAACCAGGAATCGCCATTCTTGCGGCCCAGTTCCTGAGAGGAAGGTCATATTTTCCACGCCAAGTGGTTGTAAGCGCCATACACCACCACCCAGGGACAGTTCTGCAAGAACATTCCCCCTTCGGGTCGCGTGGTACATTCTCAGATGTTCATCGTAGGACCCCGTAAGGAGGAGGGGGGAATCTTCAACCATAGGAAGGGGGAGAGGGAGAATAGCGGTCACTCCAGAGGTATGATGACGAGCCCGGTCATCGTAGTCTAACAACGCAGGGGGCATGCCCCGTCCATCATCGTCCCCATCACTCGAATTCTCCACGTCAAAGCGACGCGTATGTAAAGAGCCAAAATCATCCCCTGTGAATAAGAAAGGTACTCTAGGCGTGGGGCTATCCGTCTCTTGTTCCTCGCCATCGTGAAAGGTAGCCAGCGCAACGAACCACACTTCAATCATTTGTCTCGCGCTGAACGTGCCCAAGTCGACTACCTTATCCGATTCCGTGATATCGCCGCTGGTCCCGAATACAGTTGTCCGGCCGTCTGAGAATGTCACAGCAAACCCGTCCGCTTTCTCCTGCGTAAGCCAGTGTTCGGGTGTCCATGCCAGGAATAATGCGGGGATCGACGGGTCTTCGTGAACGGAAATGGTCCATATCGGGGTAATCGCTTCATCTACGGACGAAGCCAGCGACACCTTGAATAATGCCACGCATCCGGAGCTCCCGGCAATGGCCAGCAACGTGGGATCTCTAGGATGGAAATGTAAATCGAAAACGGCGTAGGGCAGAGGCAATCGTTGGACGCATGATCTATATCCATACCGGTTAGTCGCGCTGCTAACGAGCAAACAGGGTATCAACGTTCTTTTTCCTCTTACAGCGTATTGGCAATAGGGTCAATTTTCCACAACTGCAGACTCCCAGTCTTAGTCTGCTGTACGTCCCCTTCGTCTTCACTATCTCTCGTCTCCGAGAGCAGATACGTGCCTATCACGACATAGTCCGGCGCCGCGGGGCAGAACTGAAGACAGCTCGGGGGTTGGTCGAGGAAGACGGTGGAGACGGATTTGGGACGTTGAATTGCGGATTCCATCATGGAAGTGTATAAACCGTTATTAATATACAGTACTCCGAATAGACCTCATCACCTTTGCTCCCATGGCTCGCAAAAGGGGAAAATCGAGAACCTTGGGCGGTGAGAACTGAAGCTTTTCCGGGGGGGCCAATCTTATCGGGTCAAATGACTTCATTCACCCCGCAGAGGAGATGAGCTGACAGGCCAAGTTGTCGTTATCAACTTCTTTTTCTTATAGTAGTATACAATTTCTGTGATAGTAATGTCTTCATCGTTTAGTCGGCTACCCTCCACGGCGAAAGTCACCCCAGCGCCGTTCAAGGTATCCTTCTCGGATAATGAATTGGAGGATCTAAAGACGCTGGTCAGACTCTCGCGGACGGCACCTCGGACATACGAGAACTCGCAGCCGGACCGTCGCTATGGGATTACATCGGACTGGCTGAATGGCCTGAAAAAGCAATGGACAAAGGACTTTGACTGGTAATCAATCCTCTGGTTCTAGATATACTAGTCACCTTGAATAACCGGAGCAGGAAAGCAACCGAGGCCCGTATCAACGAGTTTCCGCAGTTCACTACTACCATTGAGGGAATGACTATTCATTTCGCGGCCCTGTTCTCGGAACGAGAGGACGCTGTGCCCCTTCTTCTGCTTCATGGATGGCCAGGTAATGGTGCCCTGTCTCTTTGTTAGAGACAATTGCTCACAAGATATTCAATAGGGAGCTTCCAGGAGTTCCTGCCTCTTCTGAAGCTGTTCCGAGAGGAATTTACGCCGGCTAATCTGCCTTACCACCTCATTGTTCCCTCCCTTCCGGGATACACCTTGTCTTCTGGTCCTCCGGTAGACAAGAACTTTGACACCAAGGACATTGCTCGGGTCGTAGATCAATTGATGAAGGATCTTGGGTTTGAGGGCGGCTATGTAGCTCAGGGAGGGGACATTGGAAGTAGAATTGGGAGAGTGCTGGGTGTGGATTATGATAGCTGCAAAGGTTTGTTCGATAACTCCGTTCAACCATTATACATGCTAACATCAAATAGCGGTTCATTGTAAGACTATACTATGGTTACGGCTACCCCGGACTCAAGGCTAATCTGCACCAGTGAACGCCTGCTTCATGCAACGCCCTGAGGGCTTCTCGGATGAGACTCTCAACGAGTTCGAGCAGCGCGGATTGAAGAGGGCAGGAGACTTTATGACAACCGGTACTGCCTATGCTTATGAGCATGGTACCAGAACCAGTACTATTGGTCATGTTCTGTCGTCAAATCCTATTGCCCTGCTTGCGTGGTAAGTTGATAAACCTGATATCCAGAGTCAGGAGCAATTTTATCTTACGATACCTAGGGTTGGAGAGAAGTACCTGGACTGGGTTGACGACCCTCTTCCATCCAACACCATTCTCGAATTTGCTTCGCTCTACTGGCTGACAGAGACGTTCCCGCGCGCAATATACCCTTATCGCGAGGTTCGTACTTCATCCTGATACAGAGAATCCATGATAGCAACTTTGATGCTGATTATTACTTAGAACTTCCCTCCTAAGGGTACCCCTGCTGGAAATGACCCCCGTTGGTATATCTCCAAGCCATTTGGCTTCTCGTACTTCCCCAATGAAGTGCTTCCCGTTCCGCGCTCTTGGGTTGAAACTTCAGGAAACCTAGTATTCTGGCGGGAGCACCAAAAGGTATGACGATCTATAGCTCTATTCATACCTGACACCTTGCTCACTTATATTAGGGCGGACACTTTGCTGCCCTAGAGAGGCCAGAGCAGATCAAGGCGGATTTGGTGGATTTTGTCAAGCAGATCTGGAAATGATTGCTGCTAGATATCTACACTAACGTTAGTAGTGTAAACATATATCAGACGGTTCTTAAATGGCGCTCGCTAGTCTGTATAGCAGCAGATTCATCGTGTAAGAAACATTTTTCTACAATTCCGCCTTTCAGTATCGCTTCAAATGTCAACGTCTTATACAATCAGCCAATTGACCAATCAGTGTCCATATTTAATCCCCACATTGATAAGATCAGGTTATCAATTTGGAGGCAAAGAATAAACAACAAACAACATCCTAGACATACCACACTGCATACATACACAGACCCTGAGCATCCAATTCATCACACTGAGCAAAGTCCTGTACATAAATTACCCCCATGTCTACCTCCATCGAAGACACAGAATTATTCTCCGACGAATCCAGCTTTTACGGTACGCGTTCGCATAGTTCCCCGCAAGCAACAGCCACTAACCTAGCCACCAGGGGACGATACCCAAATAACCCGCTATGAGGACCTCGCAGAGAGCTACGATCCAGAGCCATATTGGGTTGAAACTCACCCACACCTCCTAACTACCATCCAGCACAATGCGCTTGCACCGACACCACCATCACCACCATCAAAAACCACCGCTGCACTGAAAGAAGAAGAAGAAGGCATGCCATCTATAGGATCTCGCAGGTTGCCACAAAATGCGCGAGGTCGAAACGAGCCAGTACCCGAGTTTCTTGCACGTTTACCACCGTCTATCACAAAAGAAGAGTCTATAGGACCGTGGATCTTCGTGTCGGAACCGAACAGGCAAAAAGGCGTTGATGAAGAGGAAGAAGAGGATCTAGCCAACTTTATTGCGAAGGGGAATGAGCTGTTAGGAGAGTTCGAGGAGAAAAAGAGCGAACTGGAAGAAGAACACGGCCGCTCTGGTGCCAAAACAAAAACACCGCTCACACGCAAGTTAAACGTTCACCGGCGCGCACTAGAAGAAGACATTTTCGCGCTGGCGCGGGAGAATGGTGTTGTCTCCGGGAAATGGATGTTATTCCCGTCTGTCGGCCGCGTGGACGCTGTTTGGAAAGCGGTGGTTGAGGCAACAGTGGATGGGGAACTGGGGGATGGGGCGAAAGTTGCGACGGATGCTGGCGATCGTAGGGCGCGAGGGATGATGATTTATACGAGGGATTACAAGGATATTGAAAGTGTTCGGCGGGTGTTTGAGAAGTTGGTGGAGTTGGAATTGGTGAATACTGAGCAGCGGATGGGGATTTACTACAAAGCTGATGCGTTTACGTATCTGCGGATTCTAGGGGATAATCCGTATGGGTTGAAGGCAAGTCTATATTCCAGCAAGGATATTTTGGCGGGGAAGGTTTGATGGGTTGTTCATGATGATATAATGTTCATGTACATATTGATGCTGATTATGTGCTATATTATGTTCTTGTCTATTGAGTTCATGCATCGCGTGTCCATAATCTATCCAGCAGCATGGACTTCAATCTCCGTTAGCGGCCTTAATCGCATTGACACTCTTTCGCAGGACCTGTCATTGCAAACCCTGGCGGACCACGAGATAAGAGCAGTCCGGTAAGATCATCGGAGACATTATGGAGAAATCGAAGGACCGGTATCCGTGAGCTCTATGTAGACCTTATAGCCTTGCGAAGCAATTGCGCAAAACCCAGGCATTGAATCACTTTCAACTCACGATTCCTTGTCTTCTCCAGTCTCCATGACCTTTAAACATGCCTCCTTGACTTCAGAAACTCCCTTTACACCTTCCCACTTGTCAAGTAGATCCTTCACCTCAGCCCAGTCCTTATCAGCCTCCTCTCTCTTCCCATCTGCCAGAAGCTTCTCCAATCGACTCGGTGCCCCCAAGACCCATTTCACAGTCTCCTTCTCAACCTTCTTGCTACCCGCCTGCTCCGTAGACTTCGCCTCCTTTATCCTCCGCCGCTGCTCCTCCCCATCCTGAATCAAACCCCCAGCAGTCTCCGCCACAAACCCAATCGCCGGCCCCAAAGTCTTGGTCATTTTCAACGGCGCCCCCTGATCATCCATACTCCTCCGCATCTTCCCAATCGTCTCAACCGCCCGAATCAACTTCGAATAGTTATCATAAACCAACGCCTTCCGCTCACTGTCCAGCGTGCGAATATCCCCAACAAGACTATTCTCAGCCTTAAGCACCGTTGACAGCGACGATGTAGCTAGTAACTGCTCGACATAGCGCTGTGCATCGAAGTCCGGGTTATCGAGTTCTGTGCCTGTTGCTACAACGGACGGATTGGTGTTGGAGATGTCGCCGGCGTCGGTGTGTCGGGGGACGCTGCGTGAACGGCGTGCGTCTGCATTGCCTGCGGCTGCGGCTTCGGGTTTGAGGTTGTAGTAGTCTCGGAGGGCGACGCGGTTGCGGCGTGGGGGGTGGAGGGATGGGGAGACTGCTCGTGCTGTTGAGGGTGTAGAGGATGCGCTGAGACCTGCGGCGCCGGTGTTGGTGTTCAGAGTGTCGAGGGAGGGACGGTGGGAGGATGTTGGTGTGGGGGAATGGGCGCGCGAAGAGGCTATTGAGGGGCGAGGGGAGGATAGAGTCGACATTTTGGATATTCGTTATAGCAGTAATGAATAGAAGAGGTGAATGTTGAAGATGATCTGTAACTATCGCCGATAAGCGGTAGTCCCGTGCTTTATCTTTTCCCCGGACAACCTTTCGCGACATTTCCACTTCACAACAATCTACACGGCAATATCATTCATACAGTTTCAATCAATAATTCTTGTCTTGCTCTAGAGGCTCCCTTAGCCTAACCCAGGCAATTCTCACAATCCCCATACCTCCCACCGAAAAACCAACTACGAACACCCATGTCCACCCCCCAAACCCAAATCGCAGCTCAACTCCAGAGCACAAAATCCCTATCCGTCTCCCCCTCCTGGCTCGACACCTTCATCGCCTCCTCCTCCGCCTCCCTCCAACGCAACGTCCCCATATCCGCCCTCACCCAAACAGCCCTCTTCCGCGTCCTCTCCTCCGACTTCCGCGACACCCTCACAACCATAAACCCCGCCTCCGTCGTCCCCGTGGATATCTTCGATCCGACAGTGAAAGAGAGACGGCTGGCAGGGCCGATTCCGGTGCAGGTGCTTGATATTGAGGATATTGGGTCGAGTTTGTGGAGTCAGGTTGAGGCGATTGAGCGCGTGGAGCGCGGGGAGGCGATAAGGGGGAGGGAGATTGTTAGAACGGTGAATGTGGGGGAGGATCGTGAGGATCGGGCGAGCAATAACGGCAGCAACAGTAATAATAATGCTGGGGCGAACAGTGGCAGCAATGGGCCTTATCGGTTGGTTCTGCAGGATGCGGCGGGGACTAGGACTGTGGGGATTGAGTTGAGGCGTATCAGTGATATTTCGATTGGGAAGCTTCCGATTGGGGCGAAGTTAATATTGCGGAATGCTACGGTTGCTCGGGGTCTGGTGTGGCTGACTCCAGACTGTGCTACTGTATTGGGAGGGAAGATTGAGTCGATGGACCGGGCGTGGAAAGAGGGTCGGAAGACAAGGTTGATGGCGAGAATCGATGAGATGGCACAAGAGGAGAGACAGACGACCAGAGGCAGAGGTGGAGATGCAATGGAAGAATGAAATATGATGTCCCATGAGAAGATGAGAGAAAAAGGTATGAAATGTTCTTTTCATTATACAATGCTATCCTCTACATAATGCGTCCCTGTCAAATGCATACAATCAAGCTGATCCAGACACGACATGATTCAGTTCCTCCCAACCATCTCGCTTCCATGGCGCATACATGATCGCCCGCAGCGCATCACCAGCCTTCCCGGTCTGCGTAAATGCCTCAGAAAGGTCATCAGCGTCAAGGTTGCTGCGTGGCGGGACACTGCGCAATGCTCTCTTGACTGTCATTTCGGCAGGGTGAAGCTCGTTAGAAGCCGCGGACAGCTCCATCCAACCCTGTGGCTGATCGGGCGCTCTCATAACAGCTGCTGTGGCCTCACCCATACGCCGCGTCTCCTCTGGTATGTTGGAGTCGGTAAGACCCAAGGTAGAAACTGCAGTCAAGAGCTTGATCAACTTCGCCCGACCATGGATGTCGATATCATCTCTGGTGATCATGCCCTGGAGGTCAGACTCAACAGCCTCGATGGCGTCTCTGTCAGAATCTAACAATGCAATAGCTCCCAACAAGGTAACTGCCCCAACATGGTCGGGATTGTTCTCGACACAATCAAACAGTTGCTGGCGAGCCACAGCTCGTTCCTCCTCGCCACCCTTTGCCCACAGCACTTGTGCAAGAAGGCATACCACTTCCGGTGCATTCTCTGCCTCTTGAAGCGCGTCACGGAACATGTCAATGGCACGGTCCATAGACTTCAAGTAGTAGTGTGCCAGACCGGCGGTTAGGTGAGCCGACAAGCGTAGTCTTCCGTTCGTTTCGGGATCGAACTTCTCCGCGTCTTCTTCGCCAGATAACATGATTGCAGTCTCTGCTTTCTCTGCGGCTTCTTCGAATTCATGGCGCGCGAGAAGAATACGCGCAGCATCAGCGTTCGCCTGTGCAAATCTGGAAAGCGATGCAGCTGACTCGGAGACTTCGTATTCCTCTTCCATAGCTGCGCATACACCCTGTAGGCTAGCGTTCGCGTCGGAGAATTCGCCAATTCTTTCTGCCAAGAGCGACGAAAGGTGGGCAAATACAATATCTGACGGATCCTGGCAACGAAGCTGGTGGAGGGCGAAGAATGGCTGGATGAGGTTCGACAGCTCATTCGAAGCGGATGGATCAGACAGAAGATGGTCAAATAGAGTCGAAGTGTACTGCTGCTTAGATAACGCTAGCGATGAAGTCGAAATATCAAAAGCGTGTTCAAACAGACCTCTTGCCTCCGTAGGCGCTCCAAAGAGAAGGGCGAGGAGTCCTTGGCCGATCCAAGCCTGTGCATAGTCTGGGTCTGTAGACTGCGCGCGCGTAAACGCTTCATTTGCAAGCTGGATGTCATTGTGGATGAGATAGAGCGTTCCAAGGTTACCCCATACTTGGGCACTACGGTCATTCAAATGGAGACTCCGCACGAAAGCATGCTGCGCGACCTTCGGACTCATGTTCGTTGTAACCACACCCAGGGAATTCCAGAACTCAGAGTTTCCGGCCTCGAGTTCAATTGCTCTCTTGAAGCATCGGATCGCTGCCTTGAGGAATTTGCGAGGCTGTTTCTTGCTCTTCCTGACCGACCGCGTCTGCACGGATCTATATGATCGGTACTCAGCCCAGCCAAGGTTATACCAGGCGACTGCTTGAGCGTGGATGTCCTGAATAGAGACATGTATAGCGCGCTTGTATGCTAGAATGGAGGCATATACGCAAATGTCAGATTTAGGCAACGGTCCGGTTTCATCCTCTTCCGGAAGCGAGATGTATATCTGTCCCATCTCATCGACATCAGTGAGGATATCAAGTGCAGCAGGATCGAGCTCGGTGTTGAGTAATTTCCGGACCTCGTTGATTGGCAATTTATCTGCCTTCAGTTTGATATAGGAGAAGTTTGCGCAAGCATCTCCGACAGCCTTCCACAGGTTGAAGATGTCGGCTCGTTCGTGAACCAGTGTCGTAGCCACCCGGATAGCTTTGCTTGCCAGCTCAGCTCCATCGTTGAAGATTCCGGATTCGACGCATTTCCATGAGTTCTCGGTGAGGGTCTGGAGTAGTGCAATCGTAACGCCAAGCTCATTCCGTCGGATGCTCAGGACGTCTTCATATCTCGAAACGGCATCATCATACTCTCCAAGTTCCCGCTTCACGTTGGCGAGCATATACCGCGCGAACCAAATGTTCTCCTTTTCATCGTTCGAAAGGCTCCCCTCCAATTGCTGGGCATGGTCGAAAGCCTTCGTAGCGGCAATAAATCGGCCAGAGTGGTGGTAACTTTCTCCCAGTCCGACCCACGAGTGATAATCGCCTGGGGAGATTCTAAGAGCTGCCTGGAAGGAGACAACACTCTTGGAGTACTGCTGCTTGTTCACTTGAACTGTACCCAGCGCGGCGTATGGCCAGCTATAGCCCCTTCGCTTGGAACCAGGGGCAGGCTTGGCTTTACCAGAATCCACGACTCGTTGAGCTACTGCCTCAACCAGATCCCATTCTTTTTGATCCGCGAACGTTCGAGCTAGTCTCTCAGCGGCTTCAACCTCAGATGCAGACAGCTCGAAGGCTTTGTGAAAACACCTGCGTGCACGAACCCTGTCTCTCTTGTAATCGGCGTAGTAAATTCCCAGGCTGGTATATGCCGGGGCAAAGTTCATGTTCGCTTGTATCGAGGCGAGGAAACTAGCATATGCGCCGTTGCGATCCTTCCGTGCAGCAGATGATGGGTTCAACTCCCACTGGCAATATCCGATCCGGTACAGGATCTCAGACTTGAAATCACGGTTTTCCGTACGCGAGTCTTGAATTTCCGAAAGGACCTCTTGGAGCCCCTCGAGGCCAGATTCGAGATCTCCGTTAAGCGCCCTGCACCATGACAGCTCTGCCCGGACCTTGATGTTGGTTGGGTCGCGCTCTAAAGCACGCTCCAAAAAGTCGATGGCTTCACCATAATCTTCATCGACCTTGAGGATCAAACCAATGCCAAGAAGGCAGCTGGTGGACGTTGGCTTCCTCTTCAAAATGCCTTCAAAGATCACCTTCGCCTCCGGATGATTGCGAGGAAGCTGGTGGTAAATCAATGAATTGGCAAGCATGATGTTCACGGCATCAGTGGTATGTTGGAGATCCACACCAGACATTTTTACCAAGTCCTGAATGTTCAATAGTCCTTTGCGGGCGACATCAGCCACGCTTTCATATTCCTCAATGGACAAGTAGAGCTCAGCCATAATCCGATGTGCCACAATCGAGGAGCGGGCAGAGTCTAGCCCCTCAACCATAAGAACCAAACGATCCTGCACCGCCATTTCCTGGTAATCCCCGTTATTTTCAAGCTCAGGCTCCTGTTCGCCCGATGGTGTTTCCTTGGGCGATTTCTGTTCCTTGGGAAACGGAGAAATGTCGCTGGCTAAAAAGCCTTTCAGAACCTTCGCGAGACCATCTTCCGGGAAAAACTCAATAAAGTCCTTCAACAAATTGAGATCCCACTGCGAGAATTCTTCGACATCTTGCCACTCGAGCACAACCTTCCATGCAAGCTCAAACGGGTGTTTGATGATGACCATGTCATGAGCACCTCGCAGCAATTCCTCTCGTTTTGCACCTTTCTCTGCGGACGGAAGAACTGCAAGAGTGTCATATGCCCTTTGTATGAGCTTTTCTTCATACTGGCGACGGACCTGATCATCGTGAGACCAGTCCACGATCCCGCGATAAAGCTGTTCTAACTCGCTCCGCTTAAAAGCTTCCCTTTTCACCTCTAGGGTCACTTGGTCGATTCTGGCCCCTAACCGAGTCCTCCGCTCACCGATCTCTTTGTTTATGAACTCTTTCTCCTCCGCCTCGGTAATATCGATTAAACGCTGGTAGGTGAGGGAGGGATGCGGTATCCGGCCTTCGAGGTAGTTGTATAGCGGGCTAGATGGTAAATGCACTTCAAGTGCCTGCTTCTGTTGAGATCGGCTGCCCTGTCGCTTGGCGAACTTCGTATATTTGTCCACCACATCTTGACAACGATGCTTATCGTCTCTGAAACAAAATCAGTCACATTTCGACCGTCGACGAGGCTCCACAACATACTCATCTGCGAATATGAGAGCAAGGTTTACAGCTGCATAGCGATACGACTCAAGCTTGTGGCTTCCTTGCTTTTCGTATAGGTTGATCAATCCTTGCCATGCTGTCCGGTCGCCCAGTTTTGCGTGGGTTGCGGCGAAGTATGCGGATTCGGCGTTATCGTTCTTGTTTAACTTGTCATACGCGAGACCTAGAAAGAGATTCCTAGACACCAAGAAGCAGAATTAGCGAGAAGAACGAACGCACGGAGCACCTGGATCCCAATGTCACATACGCATGATAATTCTGAGGGTCTTGCTTCACAATGTCCTTGGCCTTTTGAGCTGCGTCCTCAAAGTCCTTCGAGTCCAGAGCTGTCCGGACAGCCTTGAGCGCTGACTTGCTCATCCTCCTGGAACAATTCCTTCGTCAATAGCGGATTGAATAGAACAAATGGTCGCGACTCGGTGGTGGTGCGGGACAAACCAAGATGGAGCTTCGCGGTTACTATGTTTAGTTTAGCGTCTGTGGGGAGCCCAAAAGGCGGATAACGTCAGAGCTGGCCTTTATCGAGATAAGCGCCTTCGTATTCGTATCTCCGCCTGACCGCACCCGTTGGGAACCCAGACAGCTGGAGATTCTTAACTGCTCTACTGCCGGGGACTTTTCTGGTTCTTTTATCTTCCTTTTGTGATTCCTCTAATAATTACAGACCACCTTGGGGATTTGGGCGACATTATTCTCCCACCAGACGCTATTGGAGAACGTGGCAAGGTCGGTCCGCTATACTTCTCGTGCTATGTACTAGATGCAGATCACGGGCAATTGAGACCATTGCCATCGAACAAATTGCTGACTTTCCCCCTATTACACAGATAGTAGCTTTCTAGCGCAGATTCCGAGCACGTTATACCACATATGGTCT